ACGATGGAGAACCTTAAAGTGAAGGAACTCATCGAAATTTGTGAGGAACTCGGCATTACTTTGGGCCGTGCGAAACGAAAGCAAGCGATCCTTGAGATCATGAAGCATGAGGGAGTGTCGGCTGAGGAAGTCGATGAGGCCTGGGTGGATATCAAAGCACGCCGCGAGGAGGCTGAAGGGCGAGAAGCTCGCGAACGTGAGGAGGCTGAAAGGCGCGAAGCTCGCGAAGAAGCTGAAAGGCGCGAAGCTCGCGAAGAAGCTGAAAGGCGCGAAGCTCGCGAACGTGAAGAAGCTGAAAGGCGCGAAGCTCGCGAACGTGAAGAAGCTGAAAGGCGCGAAGCTCGCGAAGAAGCTGAAAGGCGCGAAGCTCGCGAACGTGAAGAAGCTGAAAGGCGCGAACGTCGCGAGGAGGCCGAGAGACAGGAGCGCCTCGAGTTGAAACGAATAGAATTGGCAATCCTACAGTGTTCGCAGGCGCCTAGCGTAGCTTCTCCGACGATTCAGGTCAGCGGTTTTAGAATGCGGGACCAACTGCCACCGTTCGTAGTAGGCGAGGACATGGCGAAGTATCTCGTCAAGTTTGAACACGTCTGTGAGCGAAACGCTTTGGAGCGGTCTCTTTGGGCGCAGAACCTGTTAGCTCTTCTTCCCGGCGAAGTGTCCGACGCGATAACTTGCTTGTCGAGGGAAGCGTTTGAGAGCTATGACGAGGTTAAGGAAGTACTCTTAAGACGTTATAAGTTGTCACCCGAGGCTTTCAGGCAAAGGTTCCGGTATGCTAAAAAGGGGAATGAGTCACACGTTGACTTCGCGTTTCGGCTTAAAGCCGATTTAATTGAATGGCTCAAGGGCGAAGGTGTTTATGACTACCGCGATAAAGTGGTGGAATGCGTTGCATTGGAGCAATTCTACCGCTGCATCGAGGAGGATGTCAAACTTTGGCTGCAGGACAAAATTGGGGAAGTACAGTTAAACAAGGCAGCTGAGTTAGCTGAGGAGTATTATACTCGCCGAAAGTTGCATAGCAGGGCAGTGCGCGTTGAAAAGGATGAAAGGAAAGAGGGCTTTTCAAGGAAACCTGATCAACGGAAACCAGTTCCGCACCGTAATTTCAAGAAGGACCCGTCTCTTACGAAGGACAGTGTAGGGGAAGGGCAAACAGAAGCGGAGAAATCGAGTGAGGTTTCTACCACACAGGCATTTGAATCGGAAAACAAACGGAAGCCGCTAATCTGCTACAACTGCAAAAAGGAAGGACACATCGCGAGAAACTGCCAGGAAAAGTTTGCCTTCGCAACGATCCGAGAATCAGAAAAAAACATGCGGTTGTTGGAGCCGTATCTCCAAGAAATTAGGGTAAATGAGAAAACGTGCCGAGCACTTAGAGACTCAGCGGCAACCATGGACGTTGTCCATCCTTCATTGGTGTCTCCGGACGACTTTACAGGAGAATGCGCGTGGATCAGGCAAGTCGCCGAGGAGCAGAGTGTTCGCTTACCAATCGCCACCGTTGTCATTGAAGGCCCGTTCGGTAAGCTTCGCACCGAAGCGGCTGTGTCTGCCGCGCTAAACGATCGTTTTCCTTATCTTTTCTCCAACAACTCAGAGCAGCTTCTCAAAGAGCAGGGCAAATCGTTCTTCCCCAACTTCGCGTGCATGGCCCTCACGCGATCGCAAGCGCGAAAGCTATCGCGGCAGCTTGATCTGGTTCAATGCAGTGAACTCTCAAGTGACCTTGTCGGCGGGTCGACGGAACCCCAGAAAGGAAATTTTCCGCATGAGTCATGTGAGCGGTCACGCGAGCGGCCCGTCGCGGAAGCGGCCTGCGAGGTATGCGTAGGGGGAGACGACATGGCGCCATTGAGTCAGAGCGAGAGGGTTGCAACGCTCTCGCCTGTAGCGGAAAGTTGGAGCGAGCTGCCGAGAGTTGATCGAGAGACGCTCATTCGAGAGCAGCGTGAGGACCTCACGATTAAAGCGCTAGTGGAAAGCCACAAAAACGCGGCACAAGTGCTGTCGAAGGAGCACTACGAGAAATCGGTGAAGAAGCGCGCTTTTGAAGTTGATAATCAGGTAATGCTGCTGCAGCCGTCCAAAAGGAACAAGCTTGAGATTCATTGGGAAGGGCCCGCCAAAGTGATATCGAAGCTTCCCGATACGAATTATGAAGTGAAATTAGGAAGGCGGCGGAACAAAATTTATCACAGTAACTTGAAAGCAGTCGTAAATTCACTTTTAAGTGCTTCAGAGGAAGAGGGAGCGGAAGTTTTGAGTACTAGTGAGGTAATCGAAGGGGGATCGAAAGTAATCTGGGAGCAGATAAACCTAGAGCCTAGGTTAAGTGAAGTCCGGAAGGAGGACCTGAGAAAGATTCTTTCCGAGTTTGGAGACGTGTTTTCGGACCGTCCCGGAAACACGAGGATGATCGAACACGATATCGAGCTAAGCGGTGAGGAGTCAATCCGTAGCAAGCCGTATCGTTGTTCCCCTCTGCAACGTCGCAAGTACGAGCAGCTGTTGGTACCGCATAGGTATCGTCGCCTTAAAGTGGCCGAGTGGCCGGTTACTGAGATGGAGCAGGATACTCCGACAGCGCAACTTTGACGTTCGCTATCAAAAAAAAAAAAAGCTAAACGCTAATGCAGGTGCATTAAGCAGTGCGTTCTAGCTAGTACCTTCTCAACCTTTCGGTTTCTCGCTGGCAATTCGGGGCAAAATTTTGACCTCATCACGACCTGGGCTGAGCGCTCTCGTTCAGAGTGATCTCAAGGGGCCAACTTTATGTGGTATTCTAATTCGTTGCGTTGTTGTAAGTGTGGAAAATTCAAGTTCTTACTTTAAGAGTCTTGTCCCACATGTGCCTCTTGATGTAGAGGGAACAAAATTCCGATAGACACGTAGATAGGTATATGTTGTACTATACTTTGTCTGGTGTTCTGTTGGGTGACCGAGGGCACTTGCTTGTCGTGTGTTGTCTGTTGTCGAACCGTTCTTAGCAAGTTGCAGAACCATCGACAAGTGCTGAAACCGAAGATGGTCAGAAGAGACGAGCGAAGTTGGCCAGCAAGTTGTGGCGACAAGCCAGTGGAGCTGGCATCTGTCGTCAAGAATGGGATGTGTTCCCGGAACAGAGTCTGGAGCTGCATTCTCCCCATGGCCCCGGAGGCGAACCTGGAGGGACCTGGCGAACGAGCGCGCCTGTCATCCGAGCCCCGTGGAAGCAGCTCGTCTTTTCCGGCGCATTGTCTGGCGGCGGGGGTGCTGTTATGCCTGCGAGTCCACAGCGACGTCCGTGCCTCTGAAAAAGGCAATCTGTGTCAAGGCCAGCCGCGTCGCCGCCTGACGCGATCAACAACTCAACGGCGCCTCTCTGGCGTGCACGTGCAGTGAGTCAGCCTCGGCAAGCGACCCGTCGAGTAAACAACTGGCGTCTTCATGTCTGGGGGTCTGACGCATTGCGCGGCGACCCCATTGGAGGAGTCTGCCCTGACGACCAGCGGCGCTTCTGATTGGACATTTTGGTTGGACCCGGTGAAAATAAAAGAAGCCCTGCGGCGCGTCGCGATCGGCGGTCCTAGGTGAAAGCTGACATGTGTGTCAGAGCGGACCCGTTTGAGAGCAGACCTATGTGTTAGAGAGGAGAGCTCGGCTCTTCGAGTCTCTGTCGGCCCCAGTGCCGAATTTGTAACGCCTCTGTATATATGCTGTACGTAAACCTTGTTTAACTCACCGTCGTCTTGTCCGCTCGTCTTATCAGCTCTGCGCAGAATCAGTCGCGAGCTGAGAAACATACGCTACCAAACGGCTGGTGACCTTCCCGGCGGAGTTGGAAGCAGTGGCGCCTTCGGGACCGTGTTGGCGTCGCCGTCTTTCGCAACAGCACACGTGTAAGTTGTGATACGAAGTGGTCGCTCTTGTTACCGCCTGGTAGTGATTGCCCAGTCGCTGAATGTGTTCTTCGAGCCTTTTTGGTAGCGCAAGCTACACTGGCCGAGGATGAGCCGTTTCGCGTGGCTATGCGCAACGGTTATGCGCAAGCGCGAGGAGCAGTGACGTCACATGGCGCATGCGCAGCTGGCGCGCCGGAGAAGGCCTGGAAGCTCGTGGAGTGACGTGTCACTCAAGGGCAGGCGCTTCACTCTCGTGAGATCGTGAGATCGTTGACTCTCGCTCGCTAGTCCGTCCGTTCGTCCATCCATCCATACATGGTTCGACATTCCGTCCGTCCATCTGTGGTTCATCCGTTCATCTGTCTGTCCATCCGTGGTTCATTCATCCATCTGTGGTCCATAACATTGGTTCATTCGTCCGTTCGTTCGTGGTTAGTTCATTTGTCGGTATCTTACGCTACCTATATCCTGGCATAACCGAGTTTAGACGCTGCTAGTTTTTTAGGCGCCATATCAAGTGTCACATTAATGAAGGCTCAACTAAATTTGTATAACCTCTCAATACGACGCAAAAATTCACGTCTCTGTCTCTTTCATAAGATATATCACACTAACAGAACCCTCTCTGATTGACTGTTTTTTCCACCAGCCTACATATCAGCACGCAATGACCATCAATACAAGGTTGGGGTTCCCTTCTGCCACACGAACCAGCACTTCAACTCTTTCATCCCTAGAACATGTACTGACTGGAACCACCTTCCCGCATCGATCTCTTCAATCACAGACGCCAACGCGTTCAAATCAATCATTTTTGAAAGTGCATTATAACTTATTCTAATCCTGCTGTTTTGTTTTACTGCTTATTGATATTTGTTGTCCCACTCCTCTCTGTAATGCCCATTGCCTTGAGAGTAAATAAATGAAATGAAATGAAATCTGAATAAAGATTTGGCCTAATGAACAAAAAAGAAGCTAACGACCATGACTGCTGTAAAGATGAAAATAAATAAACCAAGAAGATGAAAGTGTGAGAAACGAGTAGTGCATAAGCAAGAAATATCGCTGGCCACTGTACATGGATTCTTTTCGCATCATCCACAGTTTTCCACATGCCGCTGCTGTACTGTTCCCTGGCTATCGGTGCTGCAGGGACCCTGTACACTGCTCTGGTAGGTGTCCTTCTGAATCGCTAGATTTTTTTTCTTCGCTGTGAATATATCTATAAGATATATGTGTTCTTTTGAAAACTTCTCAATGAATATTTTAAAATGTAATTCTATAGGCTCGCTGATGCTTTAATATAAGTATACATTTCATTCCGACGCCAAACGCAGATAGCAAAGGAATAACACTATTTACGACAGCAGAATATATGTCAAAGTGCGAAGCTATCCGGGCGCCACCAATCATTATATTAATGCTGAAATTTGTATTGTATTGAAATAAACTTTATTTTCCAGTGGTTACTGCGTCTGGTAGATCATTTCTAGAGGGATCGCTTGTATACAGAGTTTCTAGAGGGATCTAGGGGGCTCATCGCGTTCCTAGAGCATTTCTAAAGGGACCACTTGCGTCTGTTCAGCTGCCTTGCCCAATGAGAAGACAGATGTGGCTTGGAAAAAATGGAGACCAATGCAGTTGCTCGTACTCTGCGGATCATTGCACGGCATAAAAGCGTTGCTTACCGTTTGATTTGCCTGCTTAGGCCACCACTCATGAGTAAAGTTCGTCGAGGCGAGTAGTCGCGGAGTCTGAAGGTTACGGATGCTCACCTGGAGACGCAGACGCAATTGAGCGTTTGGGATGCACGTGAAATGGGTGATAGTTCGCGAGTGCCGGAGAGATAGTATACACACTCAGCAAAGTGTTGCCATCTCAATACGCTATCCCCCGTCCTTGGTGTAGTGACACATCAACACGCATTCACATCGCTTGTAATTGCCGACAAGGACCAGAAGAGGGCAACTCACCCCTGATCTCACGCAACAAATTCCAAAGATCGCGGGAATTGCGACTCACCCGGCAGCAGCTGGGAAGCCATGGAGCGAGCAACCTATAACATCAGCCTACCTAAGCAAGCCGCTCGTGCCAGTGGGGCCCTGGAATAGAGGCTTCTGCGATGGAAACCTCAATTTGCCATTTAAATAAAACGTTCATTGCCTCTCGCCCGGGATAGCATTGTACAAGCGCATTAAGACATTTCTTGCGCATTATTCATGACTTATATACTGGTGTGTAAAAAAAATAGAATCGGCAGCTGAATCAAGCACTCATGGTGCAGTTTTCCGTGTCTTCCACAGGGCGGCATGCGGGGAGTTGTGTGGACGGACAGCGTGCAGGGGATCCTCATCCTCATCTGCCCACTGACCATCTTGGGCACCGTCGTGTACGACTCCCGGAACAACGCGACCTCCAGCCAGCTGCGCCCTTTCAGCAACATCGACATGAAGCCCTACTTGTTGCAGTCTGTATTCTGTGTACTCAAGTCCTAACAACTCTTTGTTGTGTTTTTGTCCTTATCGAACGTTTCGGGGGACCTCTCCGCCGAGTGATTAAAACAGTGTCAATGCATAAGAAGCGTGGATTGCTGGGCGAGTTTGTAATTCCTCTTGACTGAGACACTTGGACACAGCGTGTGCTGTGTCCAGGTGTCTTCCTTTTGTACTTCAATTTTTACGCACAACTCAGTTAAAGTATAAATGCACTTGCCATGAAGTTTCCTGCTGTGAATCGACAGCAAGGTTATACCTTAAATGCACATTTATCGTAAGTGCACCGTCTAATTTTTCAACTATCACGCGCACCGGACTTTTAGATCTTTCAGTGGGAAGCAATACTCTCAATATGGAGCGACATCCACTGCACATTATAACGCCCTTGCCACCGTAGCGTGAATGAGAAACCGACCGTTTAACAATCTTGCTAGTTCTGTGCAGGTTTGACCTGGACTTCACGAGGGACGAGAACGTGTGGTCATGCGCTGTGGGCCTACTTGCGGGGCACGCCTATCGCATGGGCATGGACCAGATGGTGGTGCAGCGATATGCATCGGCAAAGTCACTCAGGGAAGCTCAGAGGTACGCCAAGTAAGCTCGTACAAAACAATGCAAGGTTCATTATGATCTGAACATTAATAGGTAGCGACAGAACAACAGCAATGTCGGCTCCGAAATGAATGAATGAAATCTCCATACACCTCATACCTACACCTCATATATGTTTGTGTTCCCGCAACAGTGACCTGTTGGGCCGACCGCCGCGGTAAATGGGCGGCTAAAATGTTCTGCTGCTAACCTAGCGGCCTAACACGGCTGTCGTCCACGGCGGCACATGTCGGTAGAAGGAAAAACACCAGTGTACTTAGAAAGAACGTCTGCTGATAAAAATTAACCCGGTGTCGCACACCACACAGTGCACCTCGTAATCACGTCGGGCTTTCGCCACGTAAAACCCCAGGCTAAAAATAAAATGAACGAGGCATCTTAGTCAAGTAAGAACTCACAAGATCACTTTCACGAACAGAAGTGATTACGATGTTTAAACATCTAAGAGACACTATTGTGGGTAATGAGATTGCACGCCTACGGATTAGAAATCGGTCTGTAGACGTCAGGGCCTCGAGATATTCTGACAGGGCAACTTTTTGTCTCAATGAGAGCGATTTCATTGCTCTTGGATGTGTTTGTCCACACCTCTCTGGATAGGACTGCGTTCCTGGGCAGCGCTCTTCTAGTCATCTCCACGGCTTTGCTGTCCGGCGTCGCTATGGCACTTGTGTACTGGTACCGAGATTGTGATCCACTTTTGTCCGGAGCTATCAAGAACATAGAACAGGTAGATATGACTTATTGCCTTTTATTTGGGTCATTTTTGGTAGTTGTTTGTGATACTGTACTAGCGATAATCATTCAGAATCACTCAATAACAGCGGAACTGAGTCGGGCTTTTCCCCCTCGCTTGTAGCATGACCAAATAAAATTGCGTTCAATTATATCCGAAATTCTGTCCAAATATTCGCTTGGGACTCCATTACAAATTTTCGATAGCTATCGTTGTCTAGATTGGCAAAAAGTTGACACGACAACTTATAAAGAAAAGATTGATTATAAAGAAAAGATTGGTTAGTTCAACTCTACGACGAAAATTCTGTCATACCTACAACCACAAGCATATTGATTGTATTTCATACACCGTTTAAGCTGCGAAATGCGATAATATATAGGTACTGTTATTTCACTCCAATAGCCACCGTTAAACATTGCGCTAGTCGCTTCTATTTGGCGTGCGCAAATATGGCAAATAGGCTTATCTACGTAGCGCCTCTCTTTTGGAAAAAAATATCAATCAACACGGGAAATAAAGGTGGTAGACGTGAACATAAGTTTTCTGCTATTTCAGATCATCCCTTACTACATCAACCAGAGGTTATCGGCATTCCCGAGTATGACGGGCATTTTCCTCGCCGGAGTTGTTAGTGCCACGCTCAGGTATTTATGTGTTTCATTGTTCCAGACAAATTACCGCCGATACACTGTCCTAAATCATGGGCATCTTCAACTAGTGTGCTGAACTCTGTGGAAAAAAAATTATAATTTTGGCTATCAGCTCATGTCGAGACAAAATAAGCCCCCTTCGGCCACATTATACGACCTATAGTTGCGTGTTTATTGTATTTTCAACACTGGCTAATATGTTGGCTACTGTCTATGTTGGCCCCAGCATCCACTGTTAGCAAACGTTGACTACTACCCTATCGTAACAGAATAACACATATGCATTTCATTAAATACACACAAGAAAGGAGTTCAGCGAGGCATTTAGGCTCGAGGTAATGAAGTTATTTACCAGGTAATGTCACTGAAGCCAATGTATCGACAAGGTGATCTTTTTTTTTGTCAGCCACTCTTTTTAAGACCAAACATGCAACAAAGATTTTGTTCAGACTTAATTCATTGATTAAGTTGTCTGTTGATTTTTTTTTTCTGTCGTATACTTATATCCGCTTGTGTGCTTTCAAATTCTCGCACTGCATGAGCCCTCTGACTTCGCAACGAAGCACCACCGACATCTATCACGATTTTTCAGTACGGTTTCGTCGGCCATCAATTCCTTGGCGGCGTCTGCCTTCCTGGACATCCTCTCACCGTTCATTGTCATGAATGACGGGTGCTCGAGCATAACCATCAAGATAATCGGTGAGTGCTTCACCCGGAACAACGTAATCAAGGCAAAACATTGTGCGCAAACCTTAGACGATGATCGTCTATGCAAGCTAATTGCCGAACGCTTCGAGTAAACGTTAATCGACGTTGTGCTCGACAGGGCTGATTGGTGCATGATTGGAGTCCTCACTTCGTCCTGTATAAGCATCGTTCCCTCGCGTGCAGCGTAATCGCTGTAGTTATATTACAAATATTGTCCACCTGGCGGCGTTGCATGCACATACTGCTGAAGGTAACATTTTCGCTTTACTGGCGCTATTTTGTGGAAAACATAGTCATTAATTAACGAGTACATTGGTAGCGGTAGTGCGCTTTACATATCAGTAATATCGTCGTCGATCAACGAACTAGCGCAGGCACCGGGGTGTTCTTGCCCTGGGGGCGAAAGTGCAACCAAAACGGGCGAAACGGTAGTTTGCCGATTCAAACCAACATTTCGTTTGAATCCATCTTTAAAACAGCGCAACGCACGAGAACGAAGAAGAAATAAAACGCAGCGCCTGTCCCTTTGTTTTCTTTTTTTCTTCGTCATTGTCTGTTCGACAACTTAGAGACAGTATACTATCAGAACTGGTTCCACGTGAATTCAATATTCCGTAAACACGCCGCGGTTAATAAACATGTGACGGGAGCAGACGGGTCCGATAACATGTTTTGTGGCCTCTGTTATGTTCGCAGCGTTTGTATTCGGTGCCCTGATGACTGGACTGGCTATAGCTGTGCCCTACATAAGCTCCGCCGTACGGGTAAGTTTGAGCTCGAAGCTATTTGCTATGCAACGAGTTGGCACTATTATTTATCTTTAAGTAGTAGTAGTAGTAGTAGTAGTAGTAGTAGTAGTAGTAGTAGTAGTAGTAGTAGTAGTAGTAGTAGTGGGAACATTGCAGGAATCCATAACAATACTGCTTGTAATGTCTCTTTCGGTGATTAATTACTTCATTTAAATTTTTTATCTCTCCAGGAGCAATAAGATAAATCACGAAATAGCCTGAACAATATTTTCTCAGGCGCTAAAGTTACTTGCGATCATATTGTTTGAAATCACCTGGAAATCAATTAAGTAAAATATGGAACGTTGAAACTTTCACTAACTTGACTATTTAAAAAAAAACAAAGTTACACCATCTCTTACTAAAGAAAACCATAAGTATAGCATGCGAGGTAACGCATGAATTCATTCATCACGGGCACCTTGCCCGATGTTCACGCGTCCTTGCAAGCGGAGGCCCACCACTGTAGTTCACTGTAGTTTATTTTGCTGTTACTCATCCCGAACCACGTCTCGAACTTTTGTTGGAGCACGCCATGCGGAAGCACGTGGTTTCATCGCGCTACAGCAGAATCTCGTTCCCCGACGCCATCACATGACTGCTGAGAGAGTGTAAAGGGAAGAGGTCACAACGTCTTTACCCAGAACCTAACACAGACCACAATGCACTTGCGCGTAAGTGCGTTCTGGCACTGCATTGGCCGGCTGTTGCACATGCGCTGTATGGGAGGTCACGCGCGCTGGATTGAACTCCACCATAAGGTGCTTCTCATCCGAAAAAAAGAGAAATTTATGTTGAGGAATTCATGTTACTGCGTTCATCAGGGTACAAACAGAGCTTTTGCGCACAGCATTCTCTGTTAGCTTTTCCCAAACGGCACTGAATCATTACTATGCTCACACGTTGCGAACGCACCGCAATGATGCAGTAGAATCTCTTAGAATGTACAACGCGCTTAACATGCAAGCAACATAGATTCAGAGTGCAAGAAGCGGGAACTGCGAGGGCGCAGAAGGTTTTTGCCGTGAAGAATATCGCGTATCCGTTTTCACGCTCTTCACGGTTCCAATACAGACAAATATGACCGATGCTTTCGCTTTGATGAGCTGCAAGTCTCAGAAGAGTTACATGTGGAGGTGGGGCTATAGCCTGTATATACACAATATCAAACAACCTATATACATTGTGCGGGAATTTTACTGGCATTAATATCATTGTCGAGTCTTCTATACGAACATTCACGTTTGTCGTTCAAGGTCAGTCAGTAACTTAATTTTGAGTATCCGTTTTTTTTTTCATTTGTTTCCCTAACCGAAAGCTCATCATGGTGGTTCACAGCAGTACGTCCGGCCCCTTCATTGGCCTCTTCATTCTGGCCTTGGCGTTCCCGTGGGCCAACGGCACGGTAAGTGAAACAAAAGAACAGTTTATTAAGGCTGTTCTACATTTATGAAAATGTACGCAACGAAAGTTAAAGGCCCGCCGAGCTAATGCCAAGAGGAGCAGAAGTAAAAAGCGTGTGCCGTAAAGATACTCGCTAAATTATCTTGACGTGGTCTGTCGAGAGCATTGTCAAGAGCTTATACAGAGCTCTTGAGCTTCGCATCGGCCATTCTGCAGTGAGAAGGTGAGCATTATACAAACCGCATGATTATATAGCATGGAAGAAAAATTCACACCTTGTGCGTTCTCCTAAGAATGACTCGGAAGAGAAAGCCACATTCTGCGTTTCCTTATGACTATATCTATAGACTCTCCACCACCGCCATTATTCCGAAAGTGTTCTGCACCTAAGGCGCATGGTCTTGCATTTTCTTTGAGATTAGAAGCATTGGAATATTTTTCAGCCTATCTGGTTTTCGCCCTGCATCAGTGATTACCACACCTGTGACCCAAGCAACGGTGCGGCACGTCATCACATGACGTCCCGAATCTGGGTTCTCTGTGACGTCATTGAACGATGACAATAGGTAGGTTGTCGCATGGCGGTCCTTGCAAGCTGGAAATTGCTCAAACCTGGTCTGGGCATATCATGTTCACAAAGACGATAGGCAAAACGATAGATGCAAGCACTGTGGGGAGAGAGGGACCCTCGACCACATAATATGGGAGTGTGATAATTCCCAGGTGCTATATCAAATATGAATTGTACAGAGGCCTGGGAAGCCCTACTGCGACGCGAGAACCCCGCTTCACAGCAACAAGCCATTTGCCTGGCGGAAGAAGCTGCGAGGAGTCAGAACCTCTTCGGCTGCTTCTTATCGCGGAGGTGCCAGCCGCCGTCACCTATATATGTCGGGGACGGGAAGCAGGGGGCATCCTTATCTGGTAATACAATAAAATCATCATCATCATCATCATTTTTTAGACAACTCGTGTTGACACCAACACCTCCGACAGCCTATCTCGGCGTTTGGTGAGACATCCAAGACATTCGCCTAAATTAAAAAAAAAAAACGCTGTGGGGAAAAATTTTTTGGTAGCGGTGGGATTCAAACCCACTGGTGTCTTAAACCAGCGCGCTATAGACCACTCGGCCACGCTACAGCGAATGCTTACGCGAACTTTCTTAAGCATGAATATTTCAAACAAAAAGAAAGCCATTTTCGTATATCCCGTAACAAAATAAGTAGCAACAGCACCGCAGTATAGTGGCTCTGGAAGCAATCGACCCCTTTTTATCTGCTTCTTCCTTTTATATTATGTGCATGCACCTGCGTTCAATTGAGTTGTTGCATTTCGCCTTCTTTAAAATAAGGCCCTTGTGGCAGGGAATCAAACCCGCTACCATACCACGTTTTCTATTATACTAGCTACCACTCACAGTTTATATAAAGGTATACCTGAATCAAATGTCATGGCAATAGAATGCAAATTAAGTGCCCAACCACCGCTAGGTGTCGCCAACGTGTGTGTCGGATGTATTACGGCTGCACGTATCTAGCAGTAGTTTTACAATTTTATTTCACTAACATTTTGCCGAATTGTGCATATTTGATCTTTTATTTGCTGTATCGTTTTTATTTTGTTGCAACAGTTTGTCCGTCAGTGCTTCTGCCAGAACTGCGCGGCTACCATTCAAAGAGTCTCGTGGCTCATCCGGTCTGACAAGCGAAATATCTAAAATTACATCAGTACTAATCTATCGTGCAAACTTCAATTTAAAACAACGTGTTGCCTAACGTCATTAAATTATTTTATTGACCTGACGTACATCGACATCAGTGCCCCATTTAACGATGGCAACGTCACTGTAATGTAAATAAGTCAGCATCAGCACAAAAGCTTAAGTTCACCTCTACCCAATTGTACTCCTGATAATACTACGCTCACAACTGGGCGACTTTGGCGCTAATGCAGCTGGAGGGGCCACTAAATAAATCACCGCTAAAGCATAGAAAAATAAAGAAATCACGCACATATCCCCGTTATGAGGACCCCGAGTAGTGTGCGAAGCAGCAATGGTTCGACTGCAAATTCTGTAAAGAGCTCTTTCTTCACCACTGTAGACGTTCAAAGTTACGCACACAGCCACTTAGCGGGCCTTCGCCTCTGCTCTTGTCTTCATTCATTCTACTGCTCTGTGTGGGAAAGAGGAGAGGAGTAAACGCTTTTATTATATAGGGTTGCATAAATGGGTTTGTTAGGGTTTAAATATTAGGTTTTTACCCCACCGCGGTGGTCTAATGGCTAAGGTACTCGGCTGCTGACCCCGCAGGTCTCAAGATCGAATCCCGGCTGCGGCGGCTGCATCTTCGATGGAGGCGGAAATGTTGTCGGCCCGTGTGCTCAGATTTGGGTGCACGTTAAAGATCCCCAGGTGGTCAAAACCTCCGGAGTCCTCCACTACGGCGTCTCTCATAATCAAATTATGGTTTTGGGACGTTAAACCCCACATATCAATCAAATATTAGGTTGCAAATAGGGCTCTTTAATAGAGTTCCGTGACGCGCGCGCCCCCCTCCGCCGCGTTGGCACGCGCATCGATAAATAGTGCAGCGCCGCTACCGGTCTCCACTCATACCAGAGCACGCACATAGCATCGGGAAGTCACTCGAGTGAGCGCTCTACCACGGAGTCATCCAATCGGCGCCTCTTATGCCTTTATGGGCTCTGCATGTCGGCGTCTAATGCAGTCGCGGTCCATATAAAACTGGTATGTGCCACATTGGGTAAATACCACTACTCGCTACAGGTAGAGAGTCAACAATTGACCAAACCATAGCCGACGACAATAGTGGATATTGGTTCTGTATGATCCGAAAAAGAGGAGACCGGATAGGGCTCTTGCCTGCAATTTTCGCAAGGCTATATATAGGTCCACCGACAACATCCTAGTTCGAATCCTAATGAGCGGAGCAGAAACGCCATTCCCTGCATGTTGCAAAAAACCGGACATGTATTGAGAAGTAAAAGAGGCGCACCCTTGTCTGTATCAATTATTTCTATTACATTAAGTATCTCTATATATTACATTAAGTAAGACTTCACTAAAAGACACCAAATCATCCCAAATATTTTTGCTCTCCTATAGATTATATTTTCGCGTATCCTGAAACATTCCAATTGTGGCTTTACACGAGCTACGTCACCTGGGCACGAAATTACAAATATCAGTACTTAAGAAAAGTCACAGCTTTGCCACAAACGCGAAGGAATGTACGCGATAGGAACAAATTGGAAGGCTGCGTCTCTCATAATCATATGGTGGTTTTGGGACGTTAAACCCCACAAATCAATCAAATTGGAAGACCACGCACAGAAGGGCAAGCAAATCAAAACGTGCCCCGCATTTCTCACACACAAATAGCGCACGAAACGTACTCACAGGTACAAATGACCGTGAATAAACGTCTCAGGTGTTACTTCGTTGTGTCTGAAAAGCGGGCTCTTTTCACAAACGGAGACTGTGCAACGACTGCAGTGACCTTTGTACACGCGGTGACTACAACAGAATAGTTCCAGTGAAAGCTAAAGGCTAGCCAAGACGTACGATCTCCCCCCCCCCCCCCCCCGCGAGATAAGGGCGCGCGAGTGAGTGTCCAGGAGCTTTGCGTCCATCCCCTCCTCTCCGCAATGCAATGTACGACGCGTGGGAAATGAGAGCGCGCGCCGCTGCGTCGTGACGATGTGGCGACACGCGCTCATTGCGCCATCTTACTGGTTATGCTGAAACCACGATACTCCCCCCCCCCCCCGAGATTCCCGTCATCACTGGTAAGTGGTAGATTTAAGTAGCTTGCATTTGAACGTTGAAATACTTGCTGCTCTATGGCTCAGTGTTTAACGCCTCGCAGTCACGCTACAGAGGTTCCAAGTTCGATTCCGCACGTCAGTGTCTTTTTCAGTACTTTTGCTCCCTTGTGTTTATAAATATGTATACATATACGGGGAGTGACGGTGACGCCGACGACGACGCCAGCGGCAAAATCCAGCCGTGAGTGTCCATATAATTGCTATCGCGATAAAAGACGTTATCGTATGCACTGTTGTGTTGCCTCAGCTTGACCACGATGTTTGCTTCGCTGCTTCTTTTATTCGTGAGTTTTGGACGCGGAAGGCTGTGAGGGCGCTGATCCGGAAACCAGCACCGGCAGAGACATCTTGGCCGTGTACAAGCTCAGCCTCCGGACGACAAAGCACTGAAACGAAAACCAGGGCACGATTGAGATTGCTAATACACGCCCCGCCGCGGTGGTCTAGTGGCTAAGATACTCGGCTAACGCGCAGGTCGCGGGATCGAATCCCGTCTGCGGCGGCTGCCTTTTTAACGGAGGCGGAAATGTTGTAGGCCCGTGTGCTCAGAGTTGGGTGCACGTTAAAGAACCCCAGGTGGTCGAAATTTCCGCAGTCCTCCACTACGGCGTCTATTCATATGGTGGTTTTGGGACGTTAAACCCCCATATCAATCAGATTGCTAGCAAACGAGTGCGCAACCACCAATCAGCAAGCGCCTGCCTATACATCACATTCTCAAGCGCGGTGTTCTCAAGCAACGATTCATACACTATCATTTAAGCAGCACAGTTACAGAAATTTGTGACTGATAGTACGCAATAACCGCCAACCATGAAGTGCAAATGACGTCATGTGAGGTCACAGAAGGTACTTATACTGTGCTAGAGCAGTCAGACATGATGACCGCAGTGACGTCAGCGTGCCCCATCATATTTTGTCTGTTTGCTGCGTGGTTCAAGACCAGCCTGTCATGCTGCCACGCTTCCTTTACACGCGAGTTATTACCTGGAGATGTCACGCAATAGTGACTTGGACATTAATGAATGATATACATAATTAAAACGAACTCATTTTTCTAGTCGGCCGCAGTGTTATCCTCATTTTAATCAATTTCATACAAATAGGTGCCTCGAAGTTGTTAATTGATTTTATGTGAAGCTGTATTTGAGCATTAACGGGTGAAGTTCTTTTTTTTTAATATATAAGAAAACTCGATTTACTGTATACGCAGTTTGAAGAATCGCGGCGTATCACTCGATACAATTTCCTCCCTGTCTAACAAATATGAACATCTTTCTTTGTCTACAGTGCGCCAAAAAGACAGGGAAACGATGTGTTCACGGTATGCGCACTGACTACCTGAGCTCAGAATTCTACGTCATTCGTAAGATACTAGGTATAGTTATGCGTGTAGCGAAGTGTACTCAAGAACGTTGAGCTATTTCATAAGCCAATGTCATATGAATTATAGTGCAGAAACGACAAAAGAAAAGACAAAGAAATCCTTTGCATCGTTGGCATGCCATGGGCACACGTGTGCACTTTATCTATCACGCTTGAAAAAAAGTCTAGTAATTTTGCAGCACACGTCTATTCAGCAATTCCATTAAATTCATGCAGTGCACGTAACAAAAATTATTGTACTTTTCCAGTACTTCTGATGAAGCGAGCATATTACGGCATACAGCGATAAAAAGAAACGCGAACAGTGCGTCATCTACGCGTTTTGCCGTTTCGCATGCATGCCTTTTCGAGCGTTTGTAGCCTATAGATGGTAATGATAAAAAAAAAACGCCACTACAGTTATCCGTGATACAATCGAGGACCCAGCTAGCATTTTTCGGGGGCCACCAAGGTCAGATCGCGATGAAAAAGAGCGCGCCGCGCTGTTCGAGTTTCTCCATCGCTCCCTTCGAAACACCGCCCTTTTGCGGTTAGTCTAATTTAATCAATATACACGTCACTTAAAGAACCCCAGGTGGTCGAAATTTCCGGAGCCCTCCACTACGGCGTCTCTCATAATCATGAAGTGGTTTTGGGACGTTAAACCCCACATATCAATCAATCAATCAATCAATATACAGGTCACGTGCAACACACGTGAAAAGCTGCTTACGTCTAAGATGACGTTGCAGATGAACAGCCCACAGGACAGGTACATGACAATGTCCTGTTGAAATTTAAGGAAACACAATGAAGCAAACGAAGTGATTATTTCAGGACATCACTGTAACTATGGCTCACTCGTAATTATCTTATATGATGAAATCAATGGCACGTATTGGTTGGCATACACAAATTAGGAGAATATGTCGCGAGATTATGTCCTTACCGATCACTGAAAAAAATATTATGTAAAGGCACAAACATATATAGAGGGAGTACGTTTGTGTCAGCACTGTGGAGGTGATGGCTTACTCATTGTGTCATTGTTTACTCTTACACCTTTTTCTGGTGAACATACGTATAAGTTTGCTTTTCTTATAGAAGTCCAAATAAGTTGATTGCTGTGGCAGCCAAAACTAGTGTATATTCAATTCGTTTAAAGCTTTTCATATAAAATTGAGCCTAACTATTTTTCACAGTTATGTTAAATAATGACGACTGATCGGTGTGAACTTGTTCACCTCGAAATGCACATATTTGTTAAGTCTTGTAGTGAAAGCCGAGAGTGGTGAAATAATTTGAAATTCTAAGTCTGCCCTCTCTTTTCTTTTTTCAAAGCGAAATGATGACAGCATGAAAAATACAGAATATTCGTTTTTTTTTTCCTTCGGCACTGATCATTTCGATTCCTTCCTTCCTACATACTTATCACTTCATATTCCAGTATGTGTCCGTGTTACGAGCTCTACAGGTACCGGAGTCCGAATGAGAACTCTGAAACTGACCATTTTATTAGGGCCTCATCCAGTACGTTCCTTGAAATCGCAGTCAAAATCAGGATGCTATAGAAACCAGCTAAGTCATGACAACGCCGGATGTACCATTTAACGTCTCCTCAGCGTGCTGAAGATCTCAGCCGATACGTCTAATGCCCGCTATCGGCCACAAATATTTTTCTTGTCTATCGTTCAACTATCGGTGTGCGAGATAAAAAGATTAAGACACTCGCGAAATGTGGGTCGTGTTTCGATCGCGGGCGTGAAATAGTGGTTTAATGCCGCGTCAGTCGCGAGGTTGACAGAGACAACGGAGCACTGATAAGAGTACACGATAAACTTGAACGACCGAAACTACACCTAATCGCGTATACCTGTTCTTTGAGTAAAAATAGCTTCATCAAGAGAATGTCAGTTAAAAAATTGGCCCTGTATCTGCATGTAATCTGCAAATCTCGTAGAAAGATGATAGCCTTGCGTGTGGAGAGAGTGAACAAAACATTTATTTGATGTTCTGCGCAAGAAAATTGGTGAACGTTATTCTGAAGGCGCAGCGTCAGAGTGCCTCGAGCGTGTAGCGGAGACCATCGAGCGCATCAAGTCACGTCACACGTGAGACATGAACGCCATCTGGCAGTTTCTTTTGGAAAACAAAGCGCGTGGCCGTGTGCGCCCGTCTCAAAAGTGATAATGAGTAGAACGCGAGGCAACGGGTAGGTGTCTCCACCATCTCGTCCTAGCAAAGCGTTGGAAACACTCCCCGTTCCGTGCAAGTGTTGCATGCGTGATAAGCGCTACGTTCCTTAAAATTATTTATTTATGCGTTTTCTAGTAAGAGATGCATATAGACTATAGCCTTGCTGCCCGTATCAATGGCGTAACCACCACGTTGGTCAGTCGCTGTGGCATATAGACCTTTTTACAGAAGGCTCCCTATGCGCCCTTATTCTCTTTGGGCTACGCTAAATAGGCGCGACCTCCCGTAATGTTTGAGCTAGCTACGCTAAATAGGCATGACCTCCCATATTGTTCTGCCGAGAGTTGTACTCATGTGCCACAGCCCAGAAAAGAGGTGTTTCTTCTCTCCAATGAAAATGTTTATCCAATAAGGAGAGTTCGACTTCGAGGCGGAGTTCTAAAGCGATTGCGTGTACTTCAGGAGCAGGGTGCACATAAAAAAAATCTTTACACAAACATTGTCGAACCCGAGCAGTCTTCTCTCAAGACCTTCAATTGAGCGCCAGTAATAAAAAAAGCGCGTACATTGCGTATACATTCCGGCAATTCCTCTGGCACGATTTTTACGAAATTTCGATTTTCGGTGGCCGTCATATGAAGCACGAGAATGCCAAATCACGTGTTTGCAAGATGTTATAAATTAATATATGCGAATAACGTGCTTACTTAATCCAAGCATATATGTTCATAATTTCCGTGAAACTTTGCCAATTACTTTGATAGAGTCAAAGTTTCTCCAAAAGTCATAAAAAATTGCACTTTTGAATGCATGATTCCTTCGGAGGAGAACAACGTGGCTATTTAAAAGCAAATATCCCATTAATTGTCTCACACGTACTCCATAGCGTGCACCAGAGCACACCAAAGTACGAACAGTGCACAGTTTATCAAATAATTTTACGCGAATACAGTACTCCTGCCACAGTAGCCAGGTTATCAATGGCTCTACATTGTTGCTTGCGTGCGTGTATGATTACCGTAACATTATAGATAATAGCAGTATCAGGAACAGTTTCCATTGACAATGAATTCAATACAGAGAAGACTGTACGTACATACGACAGGTACATGCATAAAACTTTCTCGACGTAGCATATTGCTACAGTAAACTTACCGGGTCCAGCTTAATGGGGGCCTATCACAGCGAAACGGTAAGACAAATTAAGTTTCCAATATGCTGTGGCTAAATATAGTTTATTCGTTAGAGATTGGCAATATATTCAAGTTCGAAATAAATTGAATGAGTTGAATAGTTTATCAAGTTAAACAACTTGATTTACTGTTTCCCAGTTCCGTCCTGAAATCATCGTTCCTTTCTGTCTGCATGTTCGTATTTTCTCCTGTCCAAATCAATGACCTGTTGAATAAGTATGGCAGGGTGGTTTTCTTCATTTCAGTTAACGCACCCTTGTTGACTGCGACACACAGGCTTTGAAAATTGAACAGGAGACGAAGCGTATTTACTATTGTTTGCGCGCAATATCTAGGAAAGAATGCATGACGATGTCGGGAGTATTGTGACTCACTTCTTCCGGTTGTGAATCCTCATCGTTCTGCCGAAGAGATCAAGTAGAACGTGTTAGACGTCTGTCACTTCGCTAGCCTAAACGAGGCCAGCCGTAAACTCGGCTGCTGATTAAAAATGCTATATCCACAGACCAAGTTTATTTGCAAAAATGCACATTACGACGCGGAAACTTTTTTAACATGGAAATGTTTTATGCCGGGGTCCACCACGGCTCCGTTACGTAGTTTCATCACGAATATAACGTTGTAAAATACTGCAGAGGAAAAAAATAAACGAGAAGGAAGAGTTCCGCAGCCGGACGTCGAACCAACGACCTCGCGCTCTTCAGCGCGACGCTAACCACTAAGCCACAAAACGGCCCTTCTGCAACATGTTAATGGCGAGTCACTTATACACACCATGTACCGGTGGCGATACTTCATGGCCTTCTAGTGGTGAGCGCGCGGGCGCCTGCCATTTCGGAAGCCATGGTTACTTAGCGCGTTTTCGTCACCGGTTGCGAGATGGCACGACCGGCGCGCGTTGGGCGGTTGTGCCGCGCCACGCCGTGCGTCGCTGTGCTCACTCACCTCCCTACGAAGGTTAGCGAGCACTGTGAATTCTTTTTAGCCATATCTTTTTATGTTTTCCTGTGTGATGAATTGCACATGCGCTATGCTGGTTTTCAGATACTTTTGTGTTTTCTTCCTTTCAAAAATAAATTAGTTGAGAGTTGGCACTCATCTGTCTCTTTCTTGTTCTGTTTTTTTGTGTGTGTGTGTGTGCATGCTTAAAACGTTATATTACGGTTACATAACAACTCGCCCAGCTATCTGTTTTACTGCCTGTTACTACTACGCGCTTACGGATGCGTTTTTTCCTTGCTCACCATTTGTCGAAGCAACGGCGGGCCGTGCAAGCCAGCATGTCTGTCGTCATGACGCTACGTTGGAGATTGAAAGAAATTAAGATGGACATTAAGAAATCGAATACATCAGGTGTATATCGTGAAATATCTATAAACAGGGGATGTTGCGGGACACCCTCTGTTTAATGGTCTTTTATCGCTTCATGCTTTGATCTACTCCTAAACTTCTAACGAGTACATTATAACAATTAGAAGGGCTCTGGAACACATTTTCAACGTGGTCAGAAAACGCTGCCTCTTGGTAGTCGAGGCTTCTGGCAATACGCGAGCCAAACATTACAACGCAGTACGCAGCATAGAATTCACAAATAATTTTAAAAAAGTCACCTATAAATTATTCCCCCTTATTTATACAAATGATGTCATATACCAATGCGACCTCGCCATATGCCCTAATTCAGGGCCATTTGCCGATTTGTGCATCGTGAACTGCACAATTACCAAGGCCGCCACGGGAGGTCGCCACGTGCGCACGCTCGCGATCACACTGAAAGTAAGCCGAGCGTTCGAATGGGAAAAAAATACAATGCTCATGAAGTGCGCGTGCCATTCATGAAGTGCGCTTGTGCCATTCATTCCTACTTTGATTCCAATGGGCTCGCGAGGACGAGGGAAAAGAAAAAGCGATTACAGCGTGCGACAAATCCGACAGTGTCCACTTGTGCTTGACGGATTCATTTTTTTTTTGTTACCGGTCGACTAGTGAGGCATGAAATGTCTTTCATGAAGTTATTCAATTAGAAGAAATTACCACCGTGCATTCAGAACTATCGCATTAGACTACCGGCATCACATTCATCTGTATCCCAGTGATTTGATGGCGACTGAATTTGTTCGGTATCGTGTATACCATCAGACTAAATGAGTTGCGCCCACCTTGAGAAGCGCAAGTGACGGTAAAAAAATGAGAGATCAGGCGGTCACGTTCTATTTGTGTCTTTTGTATCGTCCTCGCGTTCAAGGGGGCGACTTTCACAATTTCGGTCAGTTGTGCAGTAAACAAATAAATAAGATTTGTTAAAAGCTAATCTCAATCGCATGTCTATTTTTATCCGTGCTATCATCTTACTTTCCCGTTCTCTAATTAGTGAGGTTAAGTCATCTATTATATAGGTGTACAACCAATTAGCGCAATTTAAAGCACATCTTTTGCTGATTGCCTGCCGCGGTGGTCTAGTGGCTAAGGTACTCGTCTGCTAACCCGCAAGTCACGGGATCGAATCCCGGCTGCGGTGGCTGCATTTCCGATGGAGGCGGAAATACTGTAGGCCCGTGTCTTCAGATTTGGGTGCACGTTAAAGAACCTCAGGTGGTCGAAACGGCATCTCTCATATCACATGGTGGTTTTGGGATGTTGAACCCCCCATGTCTATCAATCGATCTCGTCGCCTGAGTTTCCTTCAATGCTTTCATATAGTAACGTCGCATGACTCATGAGGATGTGCACCTGGCTCATAGAAAACAGAAGCGACACACACTATCTTTTTTGCGAGTGGGGTTTACTGCAATGAACAGGTGAATGTATAACCATTACTCGCCAGAAGATTACTCGCCAAGTGCAATAAATAGCGACTCAAGTAAATGGCCCCCGAAAAATCCATGAGGCTAGCAAACTGAAGAATATGCTAAAACGTCAGCCTATTTGAATTTCTAGGAGTATTCGACATGTCTAACAATATATATGCAAAAAAAATGCTAGCGCTTGGTGGTCAGTCGTATAATACCTGGTCAGCACCGTTGTGAGAGGCCAGAAGTTTGTACCATTGTGCCTGGAAAAGAGGGTGCACGTTAAAGAACCACGGGTGGTCGAAATTTCCGGATATCTACACTACGGCGCACTCAATCATATCACGGTTTCGGAACGTTAAACCCCACATATCAATCATCAACCGTGCCTGATAAAGAAGCAGGAATACAGGGAGCCATGTCCGCAATAAATAAACCAACAGGCACGCAACAATGGTCACACATGTAAAACTATAACTTTAATAAACAAAAAGAACATTGACGCGTTTCGTTCGGGTAATATATTTTACTAAATCGTTTTCAGAAACGATTTCGCTGCAAATATGTGTTTATCTGACGCGCAACCTTTACCTTTCGCTGCAGAGCTCAGCTTTCAACACTTCGAGTCCTTGACCCAGAGATAAGGCTTTCGTACTGTAATATGGTCATAATAGGCCTTTTTTATTTAGAGCTCCTATCTTTACACACGGAAAATTTCTCCACTGAAGGATAAAATTACGAATGTCGTGAAGGGGAAAAACAAGCAAACAAGTGCAGTAGATGGACCATTCGTCTACGTATATGCTCCATATATTGCCCATAAGGCAAGTAGTAATACAAATAACATTGCAGCAGCGCTAGCTCTTCTGCACTAGTCATGTATGTGCTCGCGTTGGCGTGCTTCCAAAAGAGCTTCTTTTTCTACTGCCGAAATGTTGATTAGAAAAAAAAAGCGAGAAAAAGAAAAGATTAAAGGATTTACTTTTTTTTTTTTTTATTGGCGCTAGTATGCCCTACGGCATCAGTTAAATAAAAAGGAAAAGTTTTGTTTCCTGTATGAAGGCCAGGAGTTGTCGATGCAGTGGACCGTGCGTCCAGCGCGTCAAGTCAGGTGGTCGGCCGGGGTGGTGGTGAAGGCCGCGTAGGTGGCGAGTGCGAGCCTGGTGAAGGCCCGGGCAGGTTCCCAATAGGTGATCAAGCGTTGCCTCTGTGGCTGGGGCAACGCAGAATGGGCACGTCGTTGGGGGAGGCTGTGCACCAGATGTCCATGTAGCCCGGATTGCAGGAGTCAAGGCGGCGCCCACACGAATCCTCCTGAGCGCAACCTCCTCTCGGCGAGTTAAGCCGCCGGGAAGGTCAGATCCACGCGGAGGAATGAGAGCACGCGTGGAGCGCCGGAGGGTTTCTTTGTGCACAAGCAAGCTGTCCTTATAAAGGATTTACGGTAACACGAATTATTACCAATGGCAGGACATAACACTGTAGCCACGACTGCACGCATAACTGCTGAAATGCATTTTGAGAATAATCAGGTGCCGAATTGACAAAGGTTGGCGTTCCAAGTGCCATTTCTCAGCGATCGTCCACCGTCGCTAATTACATTTCCATTGAGGCTGAGAGGCTGGCTAGCTTGTGACTGATCATTATACTGTGAAGTAATAGAGGGGAGTAGTTTCGCAGGGAAGTGCTTTAAAGGTTGTACCAAAAGTAGTAAAGGTGTTATAGCACAAGTTCGGTTTCTTTTTGACCACATCTCGTATACACGCTTGCAAAGATCTTGCGGAAATTCTGGGTATAAGTTGGGCACAGGCAGCGATAGTGCATCGGTCGTCAGCTTGCTTACCAATACTGGGCCCGGCGGGGGCATAGTCATGGGCATTGAGGTCACGGCAGTGGACCTCACGTACTTGAACTGGATCAGGCCACGCAGCTGCAAGTAGAATAATGGATGAAATTGATTATTTGATTAATTGATTGATTGATTGATGGATAATTTATTTATTTATTTATTTATTTATTCAAGGCCTCGCTTTTAAAGGACACAAGCAAAGGGCTCCGATACTATCAATGAGGAGGAGTCTGATATGCAAACTGGAAATTCAGGTGCAATTAGAAATAAAACAACAAAGAAACATTGAGTAAAAGGAGGAAGAATTATCCAGTGATGCAACGCAGGACATACGAATAATCATATGAACTCATAATCAAGAAAAAATGTATGCTAGACTAACGGTTCATGCCGAAAAAAAGTTCATAGTTTGTACGAAGGGTATTGTATTTGCTCGTATAACACCAGCACTGCTTAATGTTGTCCAATGCTGGCTGCCCACCAACTCGATGCAACTTCCGGAGCCATAGGGGGGATCGTACTCGGGACGGCTATATGCTCTCCCATGGTAGCGTACCTAGTACTCAAAATAGTTACCCACTTTTTTCTAAACGCAGCGTATTAAAATAATTCGTCCATATTATTGTGCCGTTGCTTCACGTCATTAAGCGTTTCGCAAACTACATTTGGTCTCGGAAAAATTCCCCTCAAGTCTGTTTAACCATCCGACATTCCGTAGAAATGCGTTACATTCTGTCAAATGTTTACATTCAAAGGCATATTAATAGCGCAGACAGCGACAGCTAAACAGCCCTTCTAAGCATACTCGCAGAGAGAAAAAAGACATGCATGAACACTAACATATCGTTGCGGCGCATAATTTACTTTGAACTTTCAGAAAGTTCATCTTCACGTTTAGTTGGGTGCACTGATGGTATCTCGTACCTCGGCGTTGAACAGGCCCAGGAAGATCAGCAGGAAGACGGGCCGCGTCTTGCATGCGTGCGTCATTAACGTCATGCCCTTCTGGTTGTCCTATTCAAAAAGAAGCAAAATTACGAGGCCGGAAAGGCCACGGTATGTTTCCCATGTGCTACGTCAAACCTGGTCTGCATGCTGTGCGCGGTGCTTAATGTGGTGAGGGGACACATGGCACAGTGTGGCTACGTCATTAAAAGTTGCTCGCTTGTAATGGGAGAGTTTCGCGCGAAATTTACAGACGAAGCGACGCGGGAACGATTCGTGTGATAGAACAGGGCTTTCTTGAAGGTCCATAAATCAAAATTTAATTCCCTCGCCGCTTCTATATAAGAAATTATCATTATTCCCACTTTGAACATGGCTCGTTAGCACATAAATACAAATACTGCACGATAGTCCGCCTCGGTGGAACAGTCTTTACGGTGCTCGGCTGCTCACCCAAAGGTTGCGGGTTCGATTAGGGGCCGCGGCGGTCGCATTTCGATAGAGGCGAAACGGTTGGTACATAGGCCATGGCACTTTACTGTGCGATGTTCGTGCACGTTAAAGAACCCCAGGTGGTCGAAATTTCCGGGGCCCTGCACTACGGCGTCTCTCATAATCATATGGTGGTTTTGGGACGTAAATCTCCATATATCACAAAACGTTACACGAGAGAGCATGCTGCGTAGGATGAACGCGCATTCGTATGTGCGACGCCGTTAGTTCGGGAATTCGATAACCACGAAGCTTCGTCTCCGACGTGTTTTGGCTCCTTTGTATGCACAACCACACGGTGAAGTCGGGTTACACAATTTCCCCAACTACATCGATTTAAACGTCCAAAGCAAAGTGAGTCAGCTGAAGAGCATTCTGCACTAGTACTAAAATCTGCACTATATAAGTGGTTTCTTTTCAACAGGTTCCGAGTGTCCAATGCTGCTGTTTTTTTTTTTTTTTTCTGGCGGATGTATACAACAAAGAGATCGACTTACGCTCGCCAGGATGGCGAAGAGCAGCATCAAGAAGAATATGCTGGCCCCGAAAAAGACGACTCCGTAACTGAGGGACACCACCATTTCTGCTCGGGAGAGATGAAACGCAGGTCGACTTCGCGTGAAATACGCTATCGCTCAAGCCGGTCGTATACAACTATATAGCTCGTAAAGAAGAAGAAAAAAAAAAACACCTTTCATCGGCATTGTGTGCACTCGCGATTTTTCGTATAATCTATTCCACGAGTGATGCACATGTTTATTCGAGAGAAACCATTGATGCTTTATTCCCGAGAAACCACTCCTCAAATTTAAGGGGAGTGAAGGAAATGTCTAGTTGGATGATAATGAAATGCAGCATGTCTCAAGGGAAGCCTGGGACTCCAGAGACCTATACTCCGCCCCCCACCCCGGCATCCCTGAGGTTAATTGCTGCAGCTGCAAAGTATTTCGGTTTGACAGTGGCTGTCTAAGGAAACAGTACTTACCAAAATAATAGTAATATTCTATACAGGAAACCGCTATACGCCGTGTTCGTGCTTCTGCTGTCATGGTCTGCACTGCATGCGGCACTTTTTTTTTTTTTTTTGATGAAGCGCGAGAGCAAATGACAATACTTCGGCACCCGGATAGGTGAATTACGTGTAATTACAGCAGAAAAAAAAACATCAATGCAAATTAAGGCATATAAGATACGTTTAAGAAGCGCGCCAAAATTACTTCACTTCATACGAAACCGCCGTGTCGAGACAAGAAAAAGAAAAAAACGGGCGCATACATTCGTTTGATATACTAAGGCAAATTTATAAAGAAAGGATGTCTAACATTTAATCAGCGCACCCCGTATGTGAGTTTAGGAAAAGCGGAATAATAATAATAATAATAATAATAATAATAATAATAATAATAATAATAATAATAATAATAATAATAATAATAATAATAATAATGTAAAAAACACCAGGCCTGCGCGGAAGGGGCAGCACAGTCACAGCGAAAGCTAGAAGAGCGGCCTTTCATAGCCTTTTAAAACACTCAATTGGTAACAACTACGAGCACACTTGCTTGATGCCCACTAAGGCATTATTAATAATTTTTGGTTAGTATAGGCCGGCATTCGCTATGCTATTTTTCGTCATTCTTCTGAAAAGCGTTGCATCCGCTAAACACTTGCAAGAAATTTTGTGCCAATTGTTCATGCAGTGACTGACGACGATGAGGAATTATGGCTGAAAGGGTATGCGCCACAGTTAATAGGTGAACAAGAACAAGCTTTTGTAATAGGTAGGAGCATTGGAAAACCCACTCGTTGCTCTATCCGAGTTATGCGACGACTCGTTGTTATTTCGCTCTTTTAAAACGCTTTATATGTCGTATTAACGTGATTGCTTTCCCGATATGAAGCCTGCCTAAGGCAAGTTTGCCTACAAACCCCAACCTCCGATGTGGCTTAGTGGTAGAATACTGGGCTGGAGCCAAGCGAACCCAAATTCAACCTCCCCCTCTCCCCCCCACGTCATTGTTGCCAGGTTTATTTTTTTTTTTATTTTTTCTAACTTCGCGCGATGTGGTGACGAACACCGGCGGCAGCAGACAACTTCGCGTGAGCCGAGTTGTGATTTCTGAACAGCTTTCGCTGCAAAATAAGCCCACGCTTTTGGTTGTAAAGCATGGCCTCTGAGATTACATCGGTGACTGCATAACCTCAGAGAGCTTAGATCACTGCCGTGCGTTATTGCACTAAGCAACTGCACTGTATTCAGTTAGATTGCTTTTTTCTGTGACACTCTACCTTCCCAGCACTGATATGGAGTCCTTCCTCCGTGAATAGTTTTCGACATAGACTTGATATACAGACTCTAGAGTAAACGTGAGCCGGAAAAGCTATAACCACCAAAGCGCCGACATCTGGGAACGTTGTCATTGCTGCCGTTACTATACTTGAAAGAAGCTCTAAATAAACTATGTTAAAACACTAATAGTATCGAAGTATAAAGAATAACCAAGCGTGATCACGTGTTATGAGGTAGTTGTAAATGTGAAGAAACAGAAGTGAATGAAAAGATAACCTGTGGGCAGGGACCAAATCTGTGACCTTCCGATGCTCTACCAACTGAGCTACCAAGGCGCCGACATGCTGTCTTTTAAGGGCGTCGTCGGCCAAGTGTGACCAGGGAGTCTGGCGACTTCGTCGGCGGGCGACTCGCCGGCCGATGGTCTGCGTCTGTCTCGTGTCAAGTGTCGTGTCGCTCTAGTGCAATATTCCTTTACAACTTCCAGCGTCTCTCCACCTATCGCAAATAGAGCTGTTTTCTGCCGAGACCGCCGCACATTGTTTTAGTTTTTTTCGCGCATCAATTTGCAGACCTACTATTCTGCTTTCCGTGTCCAGTTCAGTAAACATGAGCTGTAATTCGTCCCCTGAGCTACTCATCAAGGCAATGTCATCAGCGAATCCCAGGTTGCTCAAATACTCTCCCCAATCTAGGGCCCTGAAAACCTCCTGTAAACATCTCTTATGAATACCTCCCCGTAAACCCCCCTTATGAAAGTACCACGAAAGTATAGGAAATTTTATATGAGGTAATTGTATGTAAAAGTGAATGAAAAGATAACTTGGCTGATGAGATAAAGGATGTAATTTGCTGCGCGCGGGAAAAAAAGAGCGTGTGTTGGTTTGTTTGCTAGATGGCGCCACCATTCTTGTACCAGATCTATCAATATTTGAGAGCGGGGTCGTGCGGCCGATTAAGCCGGCTTGCTTGAGTCCCGTCATCGTGGTTTTTGTTTTGTTTTTATGCCATGAGCCAACAACTCGACTTTATGTGGGAATCGCCTACTGGGGTGCAACAGCAGCATGCAGTGGCGAGTTCGAGCGTACATCATCTCAAAGCCAAGTATCGTTCCATCATGACGGCGACCGAGTGGTTATCAGCAAGCCCACATGGTGAGCTGTTCCTCTGGAGTGAGTAAAATAACTCTATGGTTGTCGACGACGCCATCGTTTTCAAGGAAGGCGATTGTGAATGTACGGCGCCTTGATCAAACATAAAACATGTAAATTATACATAGGCTCGAAACAATGCTTTCTGATATACTTCTAGCACTCTATTGTCGCTGTGTTAACTGTCGGTAGCGTGGCCGAGCGGTCTAAGGCGCTGGTTTAAGGCACCAGTCTCTTCGGGGGCGTGGGTTCGAATCCCACCGCTGCCAAAATTTTTGCTCTTTTTGTTTTTTGTTTTATTTGATGACATGTGTGGTTTGTAAAGAACTCACCTTCCCACTGCAGAATGGCAGCTGCGAACGCCACCGTGTTCGCGCTCTGAAAGAAGTTCCAAATGTAACGAGGGTTGAATAACCAGCGAGCAGCTCACGTCCGATTTGCGGTTAATCGCACTCACCCCGCAAATCACAACCAGGCAGGTGATGCCCACTTTAGTCTCGCAAGTCCACATGGTGGAACTACCACGTTCAGGCGCTGCGGGAGTAAAATAGAAAAGATCGTTTGCGCGTCTCTCAAGCGATTCCTGCTCGAAAGAGCACCCGCAGTGTACCCGCATGACGAAATGACCAACGCCGACTTTTCTTACAGAATGATGGTGCTTGCGTCAAGTTTGAATGTGTCACGTTTCACGCGGAACGGCAACTAAATGAACGGGGAGAAAATAGCCTACTCTATACTTTATGGGAGGCTATGGCTGTGCACGATAAAAGCCTTAAAATATCCGCGCTGCCATGCATAATGCACAGCTCGATCCAACATGAAGGCGTCCTGCGTGATTTGTGAAACCAAGCAAGCATAAGCAGCTTTCGTGTGATCTCATCGCAGGTGCGTGTGTGAACTAAAATAACACTTAAAAAAAAAAAAAAACGGGTCGTAGCTCAGCCTACTGGTTGATAGCGCATTTACAGCACCTCTTCCCACTGGCCCGTTGGTCTAGGGGTATGATTCTCGCTTTGGGTGCGAGAGGTCCCGGGTTCAAATCCCGGACGGGCCCAGTTTTTTTTTTGTTTTTTAACATTCGCAACGTTATTTCTTTGCGACCCTGCGATGCCAAAGGGGCGAAACTCTGCGTCCTTCCGGCGGCTTAGTCAGCCCAACATGTCTACGGGCGTACGTTTCGCCTCACTCATCATTCACTCAGGGGATGTCTTGTGATGTTTTCTCATCTATTTTATTCTCTAATAATGCTTGTATGACAAGTTTAGACGAAGCGCAGTGTTTCAAATGTTGAAGTGAACTACTCACGACATGCGTGTACGTCAGACTGCACTTTTTTTTTTTTTTAAGAGACGTTGAACATTGTGTGGTCTATCTGTCGTAGCACTAATCGTCACTTCGATTGATTGGGTTTCCTTCCTTTAAAACTACATGAAACGATCGTCAACCTGTTACATTGATTTATTGTAGTGAACAAGAACTAACATGTTGGTTCTAGTTCACTGTCGTTTATATTAAAAGAATGCTATGACATGGTCTCGGTGTGATCACCGTGATTGCGCGCACGCCGTTGGAGATGTGAAAGTGCCGCGGGCGCGTAGCGTTTTACAGCTAGGAGAATTTTGTAGGCACGTGGCTGTAATGGCGCTCCACGTCGGGGCGTTGGTTGGGGCGTCTTCCTGCGTTCCTCGCCACTTGCGTTTCTCTTCTCGGAAACGGTGCCTAACTGTGCTCCCGCTATCAATGAGGGTGTGATGATAAGCCGCTCACAGTTCGTGACCGGTGAGCCGGCGCTTGGCGATGACGCAAAGAAAGCACGAGGGTAACGATTATCAGATATCGCTATGTGGCATAAAGATGCCCCGGGCCCATTGCGCCTTTTGTGCGGACAACTCCCAATATCCGCCAGTGGCATAGCCCCTTCGTCTGCACGTTGAACAGCACAGTGCACTTTACTCAGTTAGGCACGTTCCTTTGAGCGAGATAATATTTCGGTTGCGAAAATATGAATAATATGCGCGTTTCAGCAGCAGCTCGCCCTTACCGTTCCAAGACAGGCCCGAGCAGTGCGTCCGTTGGCTGTTCTTCTTCTTCCTCGATTCCGTCGGCCTGCTCTGCACGTGTATGCTATACAGTTGATGATGCCTTCCTTGTTTCAATGACGTAGCCACTAGCGATGTAGTCGCACACCAGGCCCGTGCTCGCCCCCCCCCCCCCACATAGCGCCCCTTGACTGTTTTTTTCTTCTTTTTTGCCATGACATAAACACAAAATGCCACTCGACCACATCTGCCTGCCTGGCTTCCACTTCTGATCCAGTAGGTAACCCCCCCACCCTCTCGCGAAAAATATTTTTTCCTATGCCCATGCTATCACTACTCCAAAAAATCAGTGAGACTGGAATGAAATCGAGAGTAAAGCTGTTCCTTCTTGTCACAATTTTTTATCCCATCAAATAATGCATGATGCAAAGGCTTTGAATAGATTATTGGTATTCTTGTGGTTTTCCAGTTCACAGGATGGCACAAGCTGAAGGAAGTACATACAAATAAGGAAAAAGAAGTTGTGGAAAATGCGCGCAACATAAATTAATTATTAGATTCGGTATAAGGACAGAATTTCCGGGGACCTTTCAACACGTTCCCGATTCCCAGAATTTCTGTGCATTAGGAATACCAGGCATAAAACAACTTGCATCAGTACCGCTACTGCCCTGCCCATTCCCACAGTCAAATTGAGCCCAATTAAGTCGTCTTATTAACATCATGACTAATGGGTAATGTCATGACTGATCCATGTACAAACATATATATATGCAGGGTGCATCCGTAGCCACAGCACTGACCCTGGCCTTCCAGGCATGGGCCATGACGGGGCGGTTGCTGCATGGTCCAAGGCCAGTCAAAATGCCTTCCTCACTGGACCGATGCCCCAGCGGACACTTCAGTACCAATGCTACCGTGCCAATACTGTGAGCTTACAATGATCATTTCCCAGTGTTGGTAATTTGGGGCGTCCCCTTAACAACACGGCATGAAGTGTTCACAAAAGTGTCAACAGGCAAGATTTGTAAAAGACAGCACGTGCATATATACTATATTACATTCCCATGTGCTACAATTAAGTGTTGGAAATTTTACTGGCACTGCTGATCATTACATAGCTATGAGAGATTATAGTATAAACAGTATTACCACGAACTAGATAAGAATTTCCAACTTTCACAGAAGGAGCAGAGAAATGTACATTGAAGCAAAGTGTCGATCTTAGAAGGTTAACATTGAACCATTTACCAGTTTCTTATTATGTAATATACAGCCATGAAAGAATCTCGTATGATGTTGAGAAAGCTTTATTAAAGAGTCATTCAGCTTGTCAGCTAACTTTCTATATAAGATATTCTTTTCCCCGGCATAGGAGTGACCAAGAAGGAACCACACTTTTCGTCTACGAACTGTCCAGCTTCTGGAGCGGTTTGTTTTCAGCGTTTGCCACTATCGCCATTGGCCTTGTCGTCAGCTGGCTCACCGGTATGTAATCCAATATCATAAGCAGAGCACAGTCATCACGTAACATTCAACATTCACAACATTGTGGCAATGTTGCATCAACTATATCGAAATCCCGAACAAGTGCCCCCCTACGATGAGAGATAATTTGACCAAGTCTTGGAAGAGGGCCCTTGCTCAGTCATAGATGAAAAAATAAATATGGCAGTGGAAGAGCTGCTACAAATGAAGAATGCACACTTGTGCTTCTAATAAAATGCTTTATTGAATATGCATGCATTTATTTGCCTTAATGGGCAAACTAAAAGTGAATAAAACAATAAAAATGGTGGGAGGGAAAAAGGGCTGGGACACATATTTGAGATCTCCCAAAGAAGAGAAAGGTGCACTTGCTAATTTAGGGTCACTTGCTTGGCATTTTGCGCTATTCATGCAGCTATCTGAGCTCCTGAGTGGCACAGTGATGGAACACATCAAGGCACAACCCTTGCCAGCTTGCCCTCACAGCAGAACACATATGCTCCAACACACACTAGGCTGTAAATCTGTCACCAAGTATGCAACAGCTGGGTATGGCAGCAGTAAAAGCCTGACGCACTTCCGACATCAGGATGTGCTACACGAGTTGACAGTGCCTCCTAAAAAATACTGGAGGCGTTGGTTGGGAGCCAGAGTGGCAATCGTATTGTCAGCGAACATGCGACTTGAACTTCTTAAGCAAACCTTTCATCTCACTGGCACCATTGTTGTGTGAAAATTACATCACACACTCAGCTTTCTCGAGCCAACTTACCCACCTGTTGACGAGTATAGTCTTCATGACATTTTGTGCCAAAATGACCTATGGCTACTGCACCTGTCACAATATATAGTTGCGTTTCTTGACACTAGCTGGCTGGACTTGTCCATGTTGTGCCATTTGCGCCTCAGCTTTCTTTTTATCGTCATGCGGTGAGCCATCTTAGAGCTATTTCTCCAACACAGATTAGTACAAGTGCACCCCATAAAATTGAAATAACATTGCCATTTTATTCAGAAAAAAAAGCTCTACAAATTGATAAAAAATTATAATTTTGTACAATTTTTTTTTTCATTTTTTACCAGTAGAGAAAGGGTTAGCGAAAATTTCCGTATAAAAATTTAGCTGATGATATTGTTGAAAATAATACTACATTGAAATTCCACAAGGAAAACTATATGTATAGTTAATTTCTTTAGTAGTATACAATCAGTAACCCTGTTTCTGGCTTAACAATGCATTATTTGGCTTAACAATTCATTCAAATTTTTATTTGGACTTATTGCAGTTGGTTAAGAATTTGTAATTCGATGTCACTACATCTATAGTTGGCTTTAATGGATGAGCAGTAGCAAGGAACTTCGCCAACCACAATCCAAATGTCGTGCAACTTTGTTAATTAATTTCAATGTATACGGTTAGTCTTTACTGCTATTCACAATCGAGTGGCAACTAGACATTACAGCTGCATCCGGTGCATTTTCAGGAAGGTACCCATAGCACCGCAGCAGAAGACACTAAGGCATTCTTATATTAAGCATTCTCTACTAATTCCATCCCATGAGTTCATGTCACAGAATTTCGCATGGCAGGATAAACACAAAGGTGGTAATCCAAACACAAACACATGTTGTTTGTAGATTAAGCACTTGCTTTTAACTGATGTTCTGCACCCAGCCAAACATTTGTGCATTCCTACTATGCTATCAATACTCTCTGCTTTTCTGCTAATGCAAGCTAGATGTGACAGCATGATCAAAACCGTAACTCACACTTTGAGACATCGAGTGTCAATAGTGAGCCACACGGATGATAAAGTTATATATGCGATACGATTGTAACTGCATGCAGGTGGTGGAAGAAATTTCAGAAGGCATGTGCCATTAACGAGTGACGCATTTGTGAGGATATGGAGAAAGGTGTATATGCTCGACGATGCTGATTTGGTAAGCTTTTCGCAGACATCTTACTCTAATAGTCTGTTCTCCACTACGAACGCTTTCATCTGTGCATGCAGTATGGGTGTCCAGCATAGTAAAAGTTAATACAATATCTGCTAAGTATCAATGTCGTGTGCCCTCACAGAAAAGATTTAGTAGCATTTCAGCAGGACGCTTCTTGAGCATATAGCACATTTCATGAACACGGTGCAGTGCGGGCTAAGAACAAAGACTAACGCAACTGCCACTTTGTTGGAAGTGCAATTCAGTTGCTTGGTCTAAGAAAATAGACAAGCCCTTTGTGCTCTATTAGTCCTTCTGAAAAGCTTCCATTTTTTTTATTTGTGCATCGAGCAATGATCGAGAAATGGACAGTTGCTGAGGCCATTTTCTGTTTCTGTATTCGTATCGACAGAAATAAAGCACAGGTTTTGCTGCAATGTGCGGAAAAGGTAGAACAATTTGAGTTTATCTATTACCCTACAATGGCAGTGCAAATACATGCTTAAACAAAATCAGACATGATTAATTAATCAGTATGCTCATGATTATGATAGGAAGGTACCATGTGCATGAGTAATAACATGTGGGAAACTTATTGCACAAAATTCAAGCTGCAAAGTTAAGTAAAAAAAGGGGGTAGCATTCATGGATAATTGTGCATCATTCTGACAATACATTAACATACACTCTTCAATATTAATAAGAAATGAGAGGGCATGCCAAAGGTAAGGCACAATAGTTGTACAAAAGCAAATGTATTTCCTACACTTGTAAAGCTTCCTTCAAGGGATGCATACATACCATTAGAATTGACTGCCTTCAATTAAAGTTCAATCGCAGGTCTGCACCAGTGGTTTTTTTTTTTTTTTGCATGGGTTGCCCCATCTATCCTTTATTTAGTGTGGTACACATGCATAAAAAAGCGAATTCGCAATATTCCGCCAAGACTATAATATTATTATCTTATTATCTTATACAGGAGGATGGAGAACCACAGAGGAGTAAGGAAAACCCTGTTCATGCAGTTCACGATTGCAAGAGCAACTGACGATCATCTCAGCATCTCACGATCACAGCTGTAGGCCAATAGTTTTGCGATGGCATGCTGTTCTGATGGCCACCACCTACTTTCACACATAGCTAACTCAGTGTTCAAATGATGCTAAGCATCTCATTTCAACAGAATAGACAGCTGTGTCACTTTTTCAGTGTCTCAAATGACAATATTTTGTACTTACAAAAAAAAAACTTCATTTAGGACCAGTACTCTGTAAATGTAAGTTGTGAATATTAGTTATTTGGTTATGAATGATAGCTGATCAGGTTGAGTGTAAATATTTGAAAACACTGAACATTGAATGCGTCTCATTCAATTGGCTCTTTGAATCAAATAAGGAAAAGCTGTAAGTACAAACATCTTTTTTTTACTGGCTTATGAATGTTTGGAAATTTGAATTGTGCACATGAAAGTACTTCACATGCACATGAAATTGGTGAAAAAGTGAGATAAGTTCAATCAACACGAGCGATTTGTAGGTATAAAACATGAGGCATCAAAGCTTAAACATAGACTTGATGGCTATGAGGAGCTGTGACATGTACTAACCAGGGCAGACAATGTGGTCACATTCAAGACTTCACCTTCCCAAGCTTTGGGTCATGTCATTCATGATGGTTACTAATCTACAGCAACAGAGTACTGCCATTTGGCAGAATGTTCCTGCACAGATATTGGCAGAATGTTCCTGCACAGCATATACTTAATAATTAGTGATACTCAAGGTCGTCCAGCGACCTATAATTTCCAAGCATTGGAAAATACTGCCAGCAGTCATAAGGTGCTCCTCTATGAGGAATCTTTGTGCCACTTGCCATAGGACATCTCTTTTCTGCATACAAGGACGAGATAATCACAACAGCATGCCTTTGTTCCTTTGGTATTTCTAACAAGGCAGCATATAAACTCTCTCATACCTAAAGTTTGCATGTACATATATTTTAAATTAATATAAGTTTTTTGTCGTTTTTCGCCTCCTTTCTTGGCCAAAGATGGGCTGTATTGGCAAACATGAGTGCAATTGTTAGTTAGCATACAATTTGTCTGAATGTTTTGCTGCTAGAAATTATGATGCGTCACACCTAATTCCCTGAAGTAGTTAAAATGGTAAATAATCACACTAAATCATGTGTGAAATGACTAAAAATAAAAGTTATGTTCTACTGAATCTAGTTTCAATTAAGCATGATATAAATGCGACTCCACAAGCCACCAAAAGTCTGGCATTGCCAGCTGCGCTCACATTCAACAATTTTTTATTGCAGTACAAATATTTGATTTAAATTAAGCTTTACGTGTTTAAGCAGTGGAAAAAACTATGTACCTTCACAACAACTTCGTTCTCTAGCACCCCATGCATGAACATGGGGTGCTTGAACATTACTTCACTTGAAGTTTACAAACTTTAGATGCATTATTAAATGCTAAAGCTCTACTTGAGTAGGCATATGGCCCCACATATGGCTACACAACCTCATATGGCCACAAAAACTGTAAATGCAGCCCACAGAACTTGTGGTTAGCACAAGATCTACTTTGCTAACCACTCAGTCTGGGTAGAACACTAACTGTAGATTTATTGGTACGGCAAGAAATGATGTGAGTGGAGCTAAGGTCTACAGTGTAAGCGAAGAGAGAGCAAGGCAAACAGCTAATAAATGCTTGACTCTTGTGACTTTTATTTAGGGTATTGTGAGAAGACACTCCTCACAAAAAGCTGTATCGCTCTACAAAAAGCACTTCTTTCTTCAAGATGCAGTGCCATGCACTGCAGTGAATATTAATGCACATCCTTGTATAAAAACATACATATAAAAAAATAAGAGGTCAGTAACCAGACCAAGTTGTCTCATTGGGAAGACTGTTTCTTGCATTGGATACTATCTTCTGCCGGAATTCTCACATGCACACTCAATGCCGGAAAAACAAAAGGAAACAACAATGTATAACTTGAAGGTGAGCATAATGCAACAACAATGAACACTCACACACAAATGAGCAACAAGGAGAATCACTCTCACAGTAACAGCTGACAGAAGGCAGCATCCATGCATACATTCAGGACTTTTACACATCGCATGAGCAGACTTGACAAGTCGTATTTGAGCATCCTGTACACCGGTGAATCACATTCATGCGAGCATTCTATGGTACGACCATTGAATGCAGTCAAGACTATAAAAAAATGCCTCGTATGAAAAACAGGACGAGGTGCCCCATTTCTTTGTTTTCTTACATATGATTTCATCTATGCAAGATCAATGGCTAGGAAACATCTCGACTGGTAGAAAATGCTAACAAAATAAAAGCAGGTAGTCAACCAGGAAGGTGCCTTCAATTAACGATGACACGCAATAGAAACCTCGTGGATAGCCGCATTTTCGATAAAGGTAACATGCAATTCTTGAGGGCCATACACTTTAGGTGCACGATTGAGGTGATAATTTAGGTTCATGTTAAAAGAGCAGTGATATCAACTGGACAAATGTCTCTTTTTGTGTCAACATGTAGTTATTGATCCCCTCATAACGATTCAGTACTAATAATAAAACAGAGAGATGAATTAATATATATAATATCGATTAGTATGATTATAATAGAACCCCATTCAAACCGGGTGCAAAGCCAGCCAATCTTCAGCACTGCCAACACTGCCAAGTAATCGCTTCCCATGGTCCCGCCCCATCTGATCATGTGGCCACTACAAATGGTGACACGAGTTTCAGGGCACATTTCGTCTGCTTGGCGCTCATGTGTGTAGGCATGTTTCCGCCACCCCCATTATCATCACTGCCATAATCAGCATCTACAAGCGACAATGAAAACACTGAGGAATATGGAATCAATGGCGATTTGCAGCGTGGCGAATAATTTTTTGTTCGACCCTCTTCTGAGCAGCGACAAGACAGCTGAAGACGCATGCTTGGGCTATGCTGGCTGGTAAGACATATGAACACTGCAGGTGTGTTACTTGTTCGCGATGACCACAGCTTCAAATAATCACATTCCCGCTCGCAAATCCACGACAAATCACCTGAAGCAGCACAATCAAAATGCAGGATTCACACGAACGCACTGCATGAACGAAGCAAAACAAAGTGAACTCGTTGCTAGGCAGCCAGGCATTCCTGCCAGACAATAACCAAATGTAGACACCGGGATGACCACACTAAAATTGTCAACGTCATCGCTGCTCGCTGATTGTCACAAAGCGCCTAAGGCATGGCCTAAGAGCTCGCTGAACACGTCAAAATACTGTCGATATCTCATATCCGGGAATGCGCCATTGAGCCTTTGGACGCTCGTTGAGCTTAAAATAGTATAACTTCTACACAACGAATGCCATTCACACTTTGCGAAAAAAACTCATGCATACCAATGCCACATCTCGAGTCTGAAATTTAATGTCACTGCTCCTTTAAAGAATCCCAGGAGGTCAAAATTTCCAGAGCCCTCCGCTATGGTGTCCCTCATAATTATATCGTAGTTTTGGGACGTTATATTTCGATGATTATATTATTATATTATGAAACAAAAACCGTCACATCTCTCACCAAATTAAAGAGATTGAAGCCACCTTTTAATTTAGTGTCCTGCTTTGCGACCAACTTGATCTGGCTTGACTGTATCACCGATAATATGATTCCACAGTTGTAAAAACACCAATGTTGTTACTACACATGAGCAATAGTGTAGAGAAAGGCACCAATATCTTACCACAGCATTGTGCAAATGTTCAGCACAAAGAAGATTAAAACTAAAAAATAGTGACCACTTTAACATGTCTACAAGAATAGCACACAAAATACATTTTTTTTTAGCAAGCACCATAATTATCAATCACATTTTGCATTTACTACTAAAAAATCCTGGCCTACTTCATAAGAGGCCAGCCTCGCATGTACACGTGCAAAGATGAATGCTTGTTTATGACAAAGAAAAATAAACAAAAACAAATGAAGTTCCAGCCTTACTGCCTCTTGGTATAATGCATCTGAAACTGGAAATATGATGATGAAACAAAGTGCAAAATGACATTATACTTTAATTAATTGAATGTGTGGCAACAAATAACCAATGAACATGGACTAACAACACGAACCTAGATGCAGTAACTAGCGAAATTAAAATCACTTGTCGACGTGCTATTCTTCGCATGGAACACACATACTCGACCTCTTCCTACTATCGATATAACAAATATGACAGCTAGTAAATTATGCCTTGAATTACAGTCTGGAAGATCGAAACACACTAGTCTCTGCCTTGTTCAGGCACCCTTTGCTCTCATTACAGCCTTCTGTAATGGCAAGGAGCTGTCGTCGGCGCTGTCACTGCGGCCTCTAGGAGAATACAGCAATACAAACGATGCGATTTGGTGTGCAAATGTCTAGAGTACTTGACAAACATTCATGCTCCTCGGTTTTTAGAGTTGTTCTAGTGTCAAACAGGTGATCCTTTGTTTGCTGACTTTTTGGAAGACTTCTTCTGCCGTGTTGTCTTGGACGAGGATTCAGCAGCGTCTTCAGACTCCGACTGTGTCTCTGATGGCGCTTCAGCACCGGAAGCCGTCCCATTGGGCAGCTCGCTTCCCGGTGCACCGGCTGGCTTAGAAAAGCCTCCACTGTTCATTTTCTCAATGGCTTTCCTCAACTTTTCAAGTAAAAAAGAAAGAAAGAAAGGTTTCTCGTTGAGCAGGATAGCCTTTACTGGTGAACTGCACGTGAAGTAACATCCATTCAACATTTTCAGCTTTCATTGTTTCATTGCTGCTTAAGAAGTCTACACTATTCGATTTATTTCAGAAAGCACAGAGGCTACTTAAGAACACTTACTTTATGCTGTGTCTGATAGCAATGCGCAGGCTATTACGTTGTTTGCTTCAAGCAGAATAGTTACTTGGCATATTGCTCCATAATATTGCACAAGCCTTTTACAATTAGAAAATTACAGCAGCACATAAGGACATGCACACGAATGTTTCGAGTATGCAAAGTAATATACTGCTAGGAATTAAAAGCGAATAGTGATTCCTTTTGAATAATTTCAAATCCGAGTTCAAATAGTACATATATCATATTAAAAAAAAAGCAAGCATATTTGTCATAATCCGACTAACCTGCACATTATATATATATATATATATATATATATATATATATATATATATATATATATATATATATATATGTATATTTAAACAAGGCTTGTGCAAATGTCTTTTTTAGTTGTTGTTGTTGTTGCTCAAAGAAAGTGAAAGTAACTTTGAATAATAGCAGTATTTGAGCGTAGGTAGAATGCACGTAATAACCAGTAAAATATGTCACATTTTAAAATTTACTATACTTGAAGCATATAAGCCGGTACACAAGCTTTTAAAGTTGAAAAGGAAGTATTGATGTAATGATAATATGTGAATTGAGCCTTGAAGTGGAGCTTCGTTGCTGTACGAATTTTTCTTAAAAAGGTGTGCTCGCAGTATAGCACGCCTCCCCTGCAGTGAAACCAACTTCACAAAGAGTTGCATGTGGATTAATATACACCTATTCGTTCATTTCGAATACTCAAAAATTTCTTATTTGAATTCTAATCAAAGCAAATTAGAACACACTAATATTTGTTCAAATGTGCAAACTGCTATCAATTTTCTGTTTATAACAAAGAACTCACTGCCATACTAATAGGGCTAGTGTTGGCCTTCTAAAGCCATTACAACCTGATTGCAGTTTGCACAGCTTCGTGTGCCTCACAAGAAACAAATCGGCTAACTGCAATGATCCTTTAATGTTTTTACAACAGGCCTAAATAAGAATGAGAAGGATAGTGATGAATGATAATTTAGAGTCAATGCAGAAAGTTGCTCACCGATGCTTGTAAATATTACACATGTCTATAAGACAGGCAAACCACATAAAAAAATTTTGTTCACTGATGTTTGGGTCAATCCAACAAGTCCCCACAATTGAATACACGGTCATCAAAGTTGGCATCGTTTTGGTAACACTATCTCTGAAATTAGCCAAGTTTACTATGCTACTAGTTTGCAACCACACTGTTTCTGAGACAGGCCTATTCGTAGCATTGGTTCCAAATTGTAAACGTGAACCACACAAATTGTGGTATTGCTTCTGTAGTTCTGTGTACAAATAATTGTGGACCACTTGTAAGAGGTGTTTGATCATTAAAAGCATAGCATGCTGGTTCAGCAAATTGCCCTTCACAGACACTAACAAAAGCAGAGATTACACAAAATTTGTTTTCTGTAGTGATGAAAAAAGAAGCGCATGTTCAACACCTCGCAAAAGTACGTTGTTATAACGGTCAGCGGCCTACCTCTTTGAGAGCGACCACACCAATGAGACGTCCTATGGCCGTGACATAAGCGTGCTGGAGACCAAGCATTGAGAATATGGAGTGAACCTTCGAAAAAGAAGGAAAAAAAAAGACAATATGTACTACAACATCTCCAAAGTTTTGGTTGGTTGGTTGCAAAACTTTATTGTACAAAGTGTAGATTGACCACAAAAATTTTTCTAAAATAGAAAACATAGAACTACTAGAATTTATGTCAGCGTAAGCATTTCATGTATCCCTTTCCAAATCATATATAATGTTGCCAAAACATTTTGCTGTTCCGACAAGCTTTTGGACTTTTGTAGTGAACAATATTATTATTATATGTAAAGGTAAATATGAATTGTACGAACACAAGAGTGTACCTCTGCATATTTAACTTGCCAGTACAAACAAAAAGTGCACTGCTGCTGTAACTTTCCTCATTTGATGTATTGGTGGCCTTATTGATTTCCAATGCCACACAGCTTATACTGTGAAGTGTAAACCCTATCACAGAATGTCAAAGACACATTTTGTGCACTATACACTCGTGTTATGAAGAAATCAAGTTATGTCATTGTTTCTATGTCCCAATAATACCTTTCAGCAGCTGTACATTATACAGCCTATTCACATATAAAAACATAAAATTTTAATATTTAAGCAGAAAATTGCAGTTTTGCAAAGTAGCTTTGCAAACTCATTGGCACCTAAATATATCTAATCAAGCAACAGCCCAAAGTGAAGAGTGCTTACACAGCAAGAGACTATGAGATACTCGTGTGCATGCCTGTAGTATGCGAGCAAACATCTGCACCTACTTCTGTGCACTTTCCCAATCTGATTTTGCGTGAAACAGTTATCCCACAAGTCATAAGTGACGCGAAGTCCTCCACCTAAGATCAGAGCTGTCACTATGGTATTAGTTTTCACATGACAATGGACTAACATACCTTCAGATCTTGTAACATATCCTCAAACCTGTTGTTATTCATCATCATCATCATGATCATCAGCCTGACCTACGTCCACTGCATGGCAAAGGCCTCTCCCATAATCTGCCAGTCAACTCAGGTCGTGTGCTTTCTGCTGCCACGTTATACCTGCAAACTTTTTAATCTCGTGAACCTATCTAACTTTCTGTCTCCCCCTCGTGTGTTTGCCTTCTCTAGAATCCAGTAAGTTACCTTTAATAACCAGTGGTTATCTTGCCTACGCTCTACGTGCCTGGACCTATGTCCATTTCTTCTTCTTGATTTCAACTATAATATCTTTAACCCAGGCATGTTCCCTGACCTGCTCTGCTCTCTTCTTGTCTCTTAAGGTTACATCTATAATTTTTCTTTCTATCACTCACTGTGTTTTCCTCAATTTTAGCTGAGCCCCCTTTGTAAGCCTCCAAGTTTTTCTCTGTAGGTAAGTACCAGCAAGATGCGGCTTTTGATTTTATACATCTTCCTCTTGAGGTTTAGTGGCATGGCTTGAGAATGCTTGCGGAATATGAACCACCCCATCCTTATTCTTCTAGTTATTACACTCTTATAGTCTGGCTCCATGGTTACTACCTGTCCTAAGTAGACATATTCCTTTACAACTTCCAGCGTCTCTCAATCTATCGCAAAGTGCTGTTATCTGTCAAGACTGTTGCACATTACTTTAGCTTTGTGCATATTGATTTGGAAACATACTCTTCTGTTTTCCTGTTCAGTTCAGTAATCATGAGCTGTAATTCACTCCTTGAGTTACTCATCGAGGTAATGTCATTTGTCATCATCGAATCGCAGGTTACGAAGATACTCTCCATTAACTCTTATCTCTAACTCTTTCCAATCTAAGGGCCCTGCAGACCTCCTGCAAACACGCGGTGAATAGCATTAGAGAGATAGTGTCTCCCTGCCTTACACCCTACTTTATTGGGATACTGTCGCTTTCTTTATGGATAGCTATGGTGGCTGTGGATCCGCTGTAGATTTCTTCCAGTATGTTTATGTAGGGTTCATCGATGCCCTGATTCTGTAATGCCTGCACGATTCCTGGTGTCTCGACTGAGTCAGACGCCTTCTCATAATTTATGAAGGTTGTGTATAGGTGTTGGTTGTATTCCTCGCATTTCTACGTCACCTGATTGATAGTGTGGGTATGGTCCATTGTGAAGTAGCCTGTACGAAATCCTGCTTGGTCCTTTGTTTGATTGAACTCTAATGGCGCCCAGATTCTTTTAGCTATTATTTTTGTACATAGTTTGTAGAGAATGGAGAGTATGCTGATCGGCCTGTAATTTTTCAAGTCCTCGACATCTTTTTTTTCTTACGGATTAAGATGATCCTATATTCTGGTACTCTTCCCATCAAGAGACACTTCGTATATACTATAAGGTGGCCAGTTTTGGTAACACAATTTCTTCGCCCTCTTTCAGCAGGTTTGTTGTTACCTTATCCTCACGAGCGGCTTTGCCTCTTTGCGTTCCCTCTACAGCTTTTATTAGTTTGCTTGTTGTTGCTGGTAGGATGTTAAGTTCCTCTGGGATATTATTGCTTGTTACAATACTATCCTGGTTGTTTCGGCTTCTGTACAGCTCTCTGTAGAACTCTGCCACCACCTCAACTATCCTATACAAATTGGTTATGACATTGCCTTCCTTGTCCCTTAATGCATACATCTGATTTTTGCGTATGCACAAACTTGCCATTGCAGCTTTTAGGCTTCCGCCACTCTTTACAGTTTGCTCGATTCTCTCCATGATGTACCTTCTGATGTCGACTATCTTATCCCTATTGATCAACATTGAAATCTTCACTAGCTCTATTTTATTGGTTGAAATTGAGGCTTTAATGATTTGTCGTCTCTTAATGACATTTTTCATTTCCTGGGATAGTTTGCCAGTGTTCTGGCTAGTGACTGTATTTCCGTCTTCCATTGCATACTCTTTGATGACACTTGTAAGATTATCATTCATTGTGTCAACGCTATAATATCGGTTACCTCATTGAGAGCTGTGAATCTATTCTGAAGCAAAACTCTGAATACCTGTACTTTCCTTCTCGCTGCTAGCTCATTAATTAGCTTATTGGGTATCAGTTTATGCCTTTGCTTTTTAAAACCTAGGTGAATTCGAGCTCTTACCATTCTATGGTCACTGCATCAGATCTTGCCAACTACTTGATGATGATGTTTGATGTTTTGTGGCGCAAGGGCCATTTCACGGCAAAAGAGCGCCAGTTCATCTTACTAAACATACGGACAATCATTGTGATAAGCGGCTGTATAAAGGCCATAAAATTCCTCGCGGTAAGGTGGGTAAAAACATACAATTAATAAAATCATGACCATGCCGTGAAAGGTGTGTGTGGTGCGAATAGATGACAAAAGTTAATGATAATAAAAACGATGGTGGACATGTATGGCATTAGCACAAGTGCCTCACTCGTTCATACCCTTGCGTCCAAGGGCCGTGAGGCAAGTGCTTTCTTGTGTAGCCACCGCAGCAAAAACCTCTCTGGAGAGGTCTACGGAATGCCCGGGTATATGATATGAAAATTATGAATTTCTTTTAAAAACGCTAACAATGATTTATGACTAAAATGCGCTTCCCTACCCACGAACATTGCAAGGTGTAAAGGTATATGTTGTGGGTAGGGTAATGGAAAATGTTGTTTTCTTAGAGTTTCTAAGTGTTTGCACTGAATTAACGTGTGAAGGACTGTTAATGCTTCACCACATCTGTCACACAATGGTGGACCGCCACCGGACAAAAGATATGTGTGTGTCGTGTATGTGTGTCCTATCCTGAGTCTCGTTAGTATTACCTCTGTATGACGCGATTTTGATACTGGCAGCCAATGACCAAGGTGTGGCTTATTAATGTGCAGTTTGTTTTGTGTGTGTGTATCCCACTTGCTCTGCCAGCAGTCCCTGAGGTTTCGTTTGAGAGACGGCTTAAGATCAAGGGCCGGGATTGATATGGGTGTAGGGGCAGTGCTTTTGTGAACGGATGCAGCGAGCTGATCCGCCCTCACGTTGCCTTGGATCTCACGGTGCCCTGGCACCCAGCACACTACAACATGTTGTTTGAGTGTGTAGAGTGTGCACAAAATGGAGTAAAGTGAGACAAGGACTGGTTTTTTTTGTTTTTTAAGAGTGTGCAGAGCCGTTACCACACTGAGGGAGTCCGTATAAATTACTGCTTTTTGTATTTGTAATTGCTTGATGTGTTTAGCCGCCACAAGCATCGCATAAGCTTCCACTGTGAAGATACTTGTGCCTGGATGTAGAGGGCCAGCATCCGAAAAGGATGGGCCGACAGCAGCGTAGGACACACAGGAGTTAGACTTGCAGTCATCTGTAAAGAACTGAGGACGTGTGTATATGCATCGTGAACTTGCAGCGCAACACCAGAAAATATACAGGACAGGGAAGGAGCAAAAGAGAAAGAAAAGACGGCGCTGTCTTTGCGTTGAAGTTCCAGAAAGTATGTTCGGATATGGGCAATAGGCGCATGTTTTGTAGCTTCTAGAAAAGACACATCGCAGTCTATAGTCTGCCACTGTTACGGTGGCGGGTATGCTACAGGAGCCATTAAACTGTGTTCAAGTGACACTCCAGCTTCCTCAGCTAGACCCTTCAGGCGAAGTGAGAAGGGCTGCCTTATCGAAGGCCTGTTTTGAAACAGAATGGAGCTCGACAAATCATTAATAGAAGAGTATGAGGGGTGCTTCTTGTCTGCTTTCACCTTAAGGAAATAAACAAAGGACATGTAAGTTTACTGCAGATGAAGCGACCACTCATTTGACTCAACATAAAGGCTTTCTACGGGGCTGGTGCGAAAAGCACCCGTAGAAAGGCGAATGCCCAAATGGTGCACGGGGTCCAGCATCTTCAAAGCATTTTGAGTCGCAGACTAGTAAACAATGGCCCCATAATCCAAGCGAGTGCGAATGAGGCTTCTATACAGGTTCATGAGACATTGCCTGTCACTATCCCATGTAGTATGTGACAACACTTTTAAAACATTCATGGCTTTTAAACATTTCATTTTTAAATACTTGATGTGCGGTACGAAGGTCAACTTGTCCAAAATTAATACTAAGAATTTATGCTCCGCATTAACAGACAGACTGTTACATGTGTAGAGTAACTGATGGCCAGACGGTAGTGACAACCGTGAACAGTAGGCCATCAGGCCCGCGAAGAACACGAGAACATCTTGAGCCCTTAGCCCAGAACGAACTGTTTTATTATTTCCCAAAATGGTCACCCCACTGCTGTGCCAGGCTTGCACAGCTTAACACAACTATCAGAACCGCGTGGGGGCGCTGCATTTGAACCAAAATTGTAACACAGACGTTGACCGTTCAGTTCAATGTCGGGTACTTAGTGCATGCCTCTCCTTCAGGAGAACAAGACACACGTGCTTTTTTGTGGGTTCAGTCGGAATCCGTTTTCCTCTGCCCATTTAGAGACCTTGTTTAAACCTAACTGAACCTGCCGCTCACACATTGCCAGATTGCAAGATCTAAAGCCAAGCTGGACTTCATCGACATATGTACAATAAAACATATTGTGAGGGATGGACAAGCGCAAGGAATTCATTTTGATGAGAAAAAGGGTGCAGCTAAGTATAACACCTTGTGGCACGCCTGTTTCCTGGACAAATGTTTGGGAAAGAACCGTGCCCACTCGGACACGGAATGTGCGGTTTGACAGGTAACTTTCGATTATGTGAAACATTCTTTGGCGCACGCCAAGGTGGGACAGGTCTCTTAGAATTCCAAAACGCCATGTTGTATCATAAGCCTTTTCGATATCGAGGAACACAGAGAGAAAATATTGTTTATGGTCGAAGGCGTCTCTGATCTGTGCCTCGATACCAACAAGGTGGTCTGTGGTGGATCTACTCTCTCGAAACCCGCACTGAAATGGGTCGAACAAATTGTTTGTTTCAAGGAAATGTACAAGTTGGCAGTTTATTATTTTTTCGAAGACTTTGCACAAGCAGCTTGTAAGTGCAATGGGGCTATAACTCGAAGCTAAAGAAGGGTCCTTGCCCTCTTTCAAAATGGGAATAATAATAGCCTCTTTCCAGGAGCTAGGGATGGTGCCAGAAAACCACATAGCATTGTACAAACAAAGTAAGGTTTTTCGTGTTTCGATTGGTAGGTTTTTTAACATTTCATACACCGAACGGTCAGAACCTGGGGCAGAAGTACTGCAGGAGTTTAGAGATGTTCGGAGCTCAGCTAGACTGAAAGCTTGGTTATATGCCTCGTATCTAGTGGATTTGTGTTCGAGTTTCTGCTTTTCTATTCTTGTTCTGTATTTTTGGAAAGTGTCAGTATAGTGGGACGAGCTGGACACCTGTTTGAAGTGGCACCGAGGAAGTTTGCCTGATCTTCCAAGGTATCGCCCCGAGTATTTACGAGTGGAACTGTGTGTACTTGTTTTCCTGCTATCCTACCGACCATGTTCCAGACTTTTAGCCTTTTGTGTGAATGAATTGATCCCTGACAAAAACTTCCGCCAGCTTTCTCTTCTGGCCTGCCGACGCGTTCTCCTGCCTTGAGGCTTTATTTTCTTGAAGGTGTCAAGATTTTCGGCTGTCCGTGAGTTCCGAAGCAACCTCCAAGCTCTGTTTTGCTGTTTGCGCGCGTTTCGGCATTCAGACCATGGCACACGCAGTTTTCCAGGGTGTCCATTTGTTTGTGGGATGCATTTTCTAGCAGCATCAATCAAAAACGCTGTGAAGTAGTTGACAGCAACATCAATGTTCAAGGTACATATGTCATTCCAACCTTGACGAGCGATGGTATAAAAATGTTCCCAGTCGGCTCTGTTTATGAGCCACTTGGGAACACGTGGTGGGCATTCAGTTACTGTAGTTGTGCTCAAAACTACGGCGAAGTGGTCACTTTCGTACAGATTACTGACGACTTTCCACTGGAGTAGAGGCACAAGAGATGGAGATACTATGCTTAGGTCTATGGAGGAGTAGGTGTTATTAGCGAGATTATAATAGGTTGGTTCTTTTCGATTTAGGAGACACGCGCTCGACGAGAGAAGGAACTGTTCAATCAATCGACCTCGCGCGTCATACCGAGAGTCACCCCATAGCCTGCTATGCGCAATAAAGTCTCCAAGGAGAACATAAGGCTCCGGAAGTTCATCAATTAAAGAGTGTAAATCACGTTTTTGCAGCTGATAGCTAGGAGGAATGTAAATAGTGCAGATTGTGATCAACTTATCAAAAAGAACCGCTCGAACAGCCACTGCCTCAAGGTATGTTTGGAGTTGTAAGTGTGTGCATGCAATTCCTTGATTCACTATGATGGCAACACCTCCGGATGATGTCATGGCATCAACACGGTCCTTTCGGAAAATAAGGTATTTACGAAGAAAATTTGTGTTTTTTGAATTAAGGTGTGTTTCTTGTACACACAGCACTTTTGGTGAGTGTTTGTGTAAAAGTTCTTGGATGTCATCAAGGTTTCTGAGAAGGCCCCAGACGTTCCATTGTATCATTTGAGTGTTCATGGTGAATATAAAATAGTGCTGTGTGTACGAAAAGCAAGTGGCTGTTTAGACAGGGAGTTTGAGCTCACTTAACAGGGCTGTCAACAGGCCCTGTTATCTGCTTTTTTGTTTTCTTGGCGCGCTCCAAGGAGGCACGTCGCTCTTTCGGCACCAAGGGTACCGACGTATCCATTGCCTCCTCGGAGGCACTGGATGCCCGCACGTGCGGGCTGCTAGTTCGAATTTCGGGCCTCGCCTGGTGAGGTGAGGCCTTGAAACCCGAGGACTCTGGAGTCTCCGGTCTCTGTTTGGGAGTAGGCGGTGTAGCCTGGGCTACAGCCGCCTTGGGGGCAGGTGCCACAACCGCCGGCTCGGTATGCGCGGGCCGAAGGAGTGGCGAGAGATGGTGCGGCGGTGCCCCCTGACGCGCCGCATCAGCGTATGTAGGTCCATAGAATGGGGCTACTCTTCGCCGTGCTTCCTTAATTGAAATGTTCTCCTTCACCTTCAACGTAATAATTTCTTTTTCTTTTTTCCGGTATGTGCAGGAGCGTGAATATGCGGCATGGTTTCCTTCGCAGTTTATGCAGCGTGGCGGTTGTTTGCAGTTCTCAGACACGTGGCCTAGGAATCCACATTGTGCACAAGTCTGGTGACCACGACAGGTTTTAGAGCCATGGCCATACCTCTGGCATTGGAAGCAACGACGAGGGTTTGGTATGTACGGCCTGATAGATGTCTTCGTGTACCCTGTTTGAATAGATTCTGGTAGTTTACTGGATGCAAACGCAAGTATTAAGTGTTTTGTCGGTGTTTCCTTATTATATCTTCTGATGATAATTCTCTGTACATTAGTGACATTTTGGCTGTTCCACCCCTCCAAAAGTTCAGTTTCGGTCAGGTCAAGTAAGTCTGTGTCAGATACCACTCCGCGAGGTATGTTCATAGATCTGTGAGACGCTACGGTTATCGGTACGTCACCAAATGTTGAGAGGCTGTCTAGCTTTACAAATTGTTCTTTGTCCCGAATTTCGAGGAGAAGGTCTCCGCTAGCCATTTTGGTTACTTTGTATCCAGCCCCGAGAGTTTCAGTAAGATACCTGGCAACTACGAATGAAGATACGGTCCTAACTTGCTTTCCAGTTTTCTCGCAGTGAATGACATGGAAGTTGGGAAAAGTTTCTTTTGGCTGGTTGAAAAAATTTATATCATCGGTGCGTACTTGCTTTAAGCCGGTACGATCAGACAGTAGGGGGAATGCTCCACGTATGCCTGTCATTTTTGTTCAGCAGCGTTGGCGGCCACCCACCACGGAGCCCAACGAGGGGACGCTACAAGTTTGCGGATGCTGAAACCTGCAGACGCCAGCCGTACAACGCCACTATAACCAAATGCGCCTAGGCCAAGGTACGCTATTTGCACAGGGTTAACCATAGCCGCCAGGAAGTTTCGAAGTAAACGGAGAGACTAGAGGACAGGACAGATAAAAAGTGAGAGATAAAGACGAAGATGTAGGGAGAGAGAGAAAGGAAAAGGCGACTGCCGATTTCCCCTGGGTGGGTCAGCCCAGGGGTGCCGTCTACGTGAAGCCGGGGCCAAGGGGGTGTGTTGCCTCTGCCGGGGGGCCTTAAAGGTCCAATCACCCAGCGTCAGCTCAACCCCCAGGATCCCCTTTTCCCCGGACACGGCAAAGCCACGCATGGCTAGGCGTGGGAGGGAGTCAAAACCCCCCCTTAGCTCGGGTCCGTGGTGTCGCTACACACCAAACGCCTTCTTGCGCAGGCGCCCCTGCGGGGCTTGCCAACTACTTAACATCGTGTACAATGCCTCAGTGTATACACAGAATGAAGTCTATTTCAATTTTAGTTATGCCATTAAAACTCCGCCACATCCACTTATGGTTATTATGTTTTCCGAAGAAGATATTCAAGATCTGCACATTATTACGTTTTAACTCTACTAATAACTCCTCTCTGGCATTTCTGGAGCTGATGCCATATTCCCCGACTGCATGGTCTCTGGTCCGTTTCTTGCCTACTTTGGCATTACAAATGCTCATCAGTGTAATAAATTGTGTTTTTACTTTATTAATTGCTGACTCATTAGTAGTAGCTTTATATTATTATGTTATGTTATTACAGCTAGTATAACTGCAACTATAGCTCATCCTCATTTTGCTTTCACAAATTTAACTAGTACATACCTCAAAAGCACACGCCTCGGTTTTTGCTACTCAACAAAGCGCCGCTGCGGTGGTCATAGGAGATGCTCGTAACACTTTCATGGTCAGCTCTTGCATACATACTTGACAAGGTGTATCGAAGATTGACATGGCTTACCACTGCCATATTTTAAATGGCAAGAGGTTTGAAAGCATAATTCAGCTTTTGGGTTTTCCTTAATAAAATTTGCAAAGTTATTAATCTCTTCTTTCATTACTTCTCACTTTACTTTTATACATCAATTCAGGTATCTTCTGTTGTACAAAAAGTTGAGCCCCATCAGACCTTTCTCTCTCTCTTTTTTTGCTGCGAAGGAGTAGGTTTTGCATATCTATAAGAATACCTTCAACAGTGTAGTCCTCTCAACCAGTTGGAATGGTGCAGGGTCAATGTGACAATGTGCATAGTCAATAGGTTGGGCTAGCTGCTCCTCTTCCCATGAAAGTTGCTGCACAAGACCGATCAAGCAAGATGTCAATGAAGAAGTCACACACAAAAAAGCAAATTTTCATGAAACATTCTGCACTTTTGCTAGCCAGTGCTTTCTTTAAATGATATGAAAATTTATTACGAGTCTTGACGTTAGCATATGTTGGAAGTTATTTCTTACCAAAATTCATGTCAAAGTGTAACTGGTATTTGACAGGTATGAAAAAATCTTGAACACAAGTTGTTGCTGGAGCCAACGTTTTGACAAGCGAACAAGTTTTTGTATTTGACAGGCTTTTCTGGCAGTGCTTGAGAAATACTTTGGGAAGAATAAGTTATACAGAATGCTGCAAGCTTGAGAATGAGTATCTTCATACGGAGGTTACCATCGGGACGCTGACAAAGCACATATTCTATGCTTCGAGGCAAACCGACTTCAATTTGTCAAATGTGACAACAAAGCAAGATAGTTATTAAAAAGAACACTAAAGTAAATAGCAATTTTAGATTAATGTGCTCTTATGTTAGTGTCAAAGGGCAAACAAACAGGTTGCAATGTTACAAAATGGGCATAATCATCTGTAGGCAGCATGACTTCACATACTTTAAGGTGCTGAAATTGTAGATCTGTAGCGAAAAAATTGGCCCCGTATCTGCATGTAATCTGCAATTGTCGTCGAAAGACGATAGTTTTGCGTGTGTCGAGAATGAACAAGGCATTTATTTGATGTTCTGTGCAAGAAAATCGGTGAGTGATATTCTGCGGGTGCTGCATTAGAGTGCCTCGAGCGTGCAGCTGAGGCGAATGAAGACATCAAGTCACGTCACACGTGAGACATAAGCGCCATCTGGAAGTTTTTTAGAAAACAAAGCACGTGGCTCTGAGACGGGTGTGCGTGCCCACCTCAGAGGTGATAAGCTGTAGAATGCAAGGCGACAGGTAGGTGCCACCACCGTCTCGTTTTAGCAAAGCGTTGGAAACGCTCATCTTTCCGTGCAAGCGTTACATGGTCAGCACACCGTGATAAGCGCTACGGTCCTTAAAATTACTTATGTATGCCTTTTCTAGTAAAAGGCTCACACACAGAATATATACGTGTTGTTATTGTGCCCCAGATATGCGCAATAATTGCTTTTTAATTGACAATTGCACAAGCATGAATGCTCTAGCTTGAGCAACATAGGTGGCCGCTGCAGATGGGGTCGACTATTTAAATAGCGAATACCGTTAAGAGTGGACAAACAGGCAAATGTACATACAGACAGACAGACCAAAATTTTTGCGTCGAAGGTCACCAAGAAAAAATATATTTAAAAATCTTTCAAATAGCACAGACATATAATACGTAAGATGGTATGGTAGGACAAATTACATATAAATTTGTCACAAAAAGCTTTACAAAGATGCATTTTTTGCAACTCACCTCTTCAGGCGACATGTCAATAATTCTTTCACGGGGCTACAATAAGAAAAAAGAATTACAAGCCTTGTCAACAAAATAATATGAACTTCATAAAATGGAATAACTTTTTGCATATTGCCAGAACTATTGCAAACTAACTTACACATTGCCCAGCTCCACATGAACAATATTGGTAGCGCGAAGGGTGCACAAGGCTTCTGAGGACTTGGCTTTGAGTCGCTGCAGACAATACTCTAATTCTATCTTTCTAGGTACTCAGCTTAACTTTCAGCAGCACTATCCCCCTGTCTAGCCTGCGAATTTCATGTAAGTGGCTTCAAGTCTGTGCAGGATATGAAATCGCATGCCGACCTCAGATCTGCAAGTGATATGTTCAATTAAGAAAAACCCTTTGTTTACAAGGTGTGGCAATAGCCCAAGGCTAACTAGCATCAATTAAAAACAGGACTAGGTGCTGTCAGCAGTCCTACATGACTCATATGATTGAGCTTCTTTAAGAGGTGGAAGCTATATATCAAGAGTGAGCACCCTGACAAGTCTATGACCTTTAAAATGCATATTCAGGGGGTGGTCTTAACAGTCTGTACCAGAGTCGCTAGGGATTATTATTAAAGAGTATGTCTTCTTTCCTTCAATAGGGCCTTCTAAATCAAAGAGCGATTGTGACCACATCGGTGACCACATCAGACTAAGTGTAACATTGTGAATTACATTGTTTCAGACCTGACTTGCTTATGTCACACGGCATTGTTACGCTAGCCAGCAAATGATGAGGCAGGCATGAGCCATAGTAGAAAATGCACAAAAAGGACGTAGGCCATGCTGCGAACCATTCATTTATTTTTTGCATTACATTACGAAAACCTTAATTTGCTTCCGTGCATGACAAACTGTTGGAGGTGCTTGGTGAGATAAATGCACCCAATTCCTTCAGAAAGCAGGAGCTCGAGCTTAAGGGCAGTTACTCCAGTCCATTGCACTAGTGTATTGTTACACTAGTCTATGTCCAAGACATCATCATTTGCCGGCTAGTCTAAAGACACCAAGTAGTACAATTAATAAAGGTGGGGAAGGGGGTATGACTGAGAGAAACACTGGGAAACAGGCACAAATACAAAGAGTCAACAAGGGCTGCTGGTGGAAGCTTATGTTAACACAAACACTATGAGACCTGTGCGTGCATATAAAGTTCAAATGAAGTCACTCAATGAATCTGAAGACGGCCTGCTTTGTTGAATAGATTCTGTAAACAGTCCTACAAAAACATTAAATATGCGAAAAAAAAATACATGTGCCTTGTGCAAAAAAAAATATTGCTGTTAAAGTAGTAATCATCACTCTGAATTCTTTGCACACTAGGTATTTGTAGAACACTGTTGAATGAAAGAAAAAAGGAGTGTATGATTGATAAATATCGATTAATATTGAAAATAGACTTTTCTTCAACAAAATAACCAGCTATTCCTGAAATAAAAAAAAATTGAGGAAGTTTCGCACCATTGGTACCAAGCCTGAAGATGCAGCCTAACAGGACAGCCTTCCTTGTTGTTCCTAATATTTATTTTTATTTTCTTTCTCTCTCTTTTTAATCATTTTTGTCTATTTCTCTCTATATCTTTCTTATTCTTTTTTTCTATCTTTTTCTCTTCCCTTTTTTCTCTCTGTTCTTTTATCTCTTTTTGCTGTGTGTTTCTTCAAATGTCTCTTGCTCTTTTATTTCTGTCTTTCTATCTCTTTCCCTTTTACTTCTCTTCCTTTATTTTTTCTCATGGCCTTTTTTGTTTTATTTTTTTCTCCCTCCCTCTCTGTACTATTCTCTCACCCACCAGAGTTAGTGCATCTTACGCCCGAGAGATGGGCGCTACAGCACCGCATCCGCAGGGCACACATGTTCAACGAGTAAAGTAGATGAAAAATAAGACGAAGAGAGAGCATGTCATTCGTGATAATAAGATTTTGTGGCGCATCCATGGAGTTACCTTAAGCAGCTCTGCTATTATTTGAAAAGAAAACTAATGTTAATAGCGAATCACAAGATTTTCACAAACTCACCAGCTGTACCCTTTTTGTGCTTGTCGGAGTGTTGGGTAAACTGGCATCCTGTCCAAAAAAAAAAAAGCATTTCTAATTATAGAGAATGCCTGAAGTCCCAGTATTCATAATGTAAATGTTCCAGTTGAGGAAAGCAAGCTTGAAAAACACACATATATTGATTTTGCCAACAAAACTGTATTGTCTCATAACTTGTCATTGCAGCATGCAGGCATGCCAGAATTGCATCTCTTGCACTCATCAATGTTTTTAACGATTTGTCTTTTTATATTAATATTCAATGAATTGCAGCTTCTGAAATAGCTGTGCGATCTACTTGGCTAAAAAGCTGTGTTCAGCAGCTAGTCAACGTCATGAGAGCCACGGTTCACGACAACAAGAAGAAAATTAGTTTACTCTAATTTACACTCGCAGCCAACAATAAAATCACCAATCACAACTAATCATTTACAATAATAATATGATATAATTATAAAGAAGGGATTGTAAAATGTACTGAAATGTGAAAACAAACACACGCATTGGTAATGAATCACTACAAGTCATTGCTGCAAAACGAAAAACCACATATCTTTAGCCATAATTTCATTTGCGTTCCTAAGCATGGCTACACGATTTTCTTTAGCAGTGAACTACTATAAGTTGAATTACGCATAGCAATTCTAGTCATTAAAGGGGTCGACAACCAATCTTTATAACTATTTTCTTTAGTCTGACAGAAACCAACAGCAGACAGCGTGTCTAATCATGCAATGGTAATGTAGAAACACCATGAAGCATTTGTAATCAGAACTTTTTTACCTTCGTCGAATGAGGAGTCATATACACACAAGACAACACATGCTGCAGACAGTGAGTGCGGCAGTTTACAGTGCATGCGTACCCTCTGCATGCATGCATGTGCCACGGCTATCCCTTAATCCACTGGCTGCCATGAAGGCAGTGCCACTTCTCATCGCACAACTCGTTTTACCTCATGATTAGCACAGATTTGAGTGAGGATAGATAACAGTATAGATACTCCAACCTTGAGGACTAATTACGATGCGCGAGATGAAATCAAGCTGCGCGACTATACATACAGCAAAGTGACCAACTCGATAATCCAGCTTCGAGGCTCTTTCGCTAGGCCGCACAACACACAAGTTATCGTTACTTTTAAACGCAATTTAAAGGTGTAAATCCTGGCTCTCAACCTAAAAATGGCCCTAGAATCTGTGACTATATTTTGTGGTCATTTCCTTAACACGTTCCAGCCAGTTGTCGGTCTCTTTAAAACACGATATTACAAAACTGGATAGCAGATGTCTGAGTTACATTTACGTGTTACTTACTTTATCAGGGTTTACATCTTGAAGGGTTAATGATTTCCTGAATATTACTTCAAATGCTTGCCTTAGTCTTGAATCTGAAAAGTAATGAAAATCCTCATCAGTATAAGATAACATGGTTCAACTTACCACAGGGCATAACATCGTACAATTTTGTTTTTTAAATGTGTAAGCGTACATCCACTTTTTGTGTTTCCATAGGTGTCCTTCAAAGAGATTATTCATTCACCCATTCTGCCACGACCTTCACAAAACTAAACAGGAATGCAAACATCAACAATACAAAGGCAAACGGCAATTAATTTTGAAGGCTTAGATTGTTCGGTGAATCGTACACCAACTAAAACCCATCTAACAGTCGGTACAAACATGCCTTCCGATTCCCATGTGCAGCACCAGTACCAGTTAGAACTACAATGGCACTTGAAGTAAAATTAGTGCATACCCCTATAAGTAGATTGCTCAATGAACAGCCCCACAGCATGACCGATCATAACATTTTTTCATCTAACAACCGTTATAAACCATTATAAAAGCAATCTCCTTCTGTCAAAACACAATGCAAGACATACACACATAAAGCCCCAATGAGATACATTACCTTGAGATGTGATTGTTGAGTATGGAGACTGCATGCCATAGTCTTTCAGGATTGACTTTTTTGGTGACTTTGGTGTTAGAGGTGGAGACGGAGGTGGTGAAGATTTTGGAGAAGGCTGCAATGAGAACAGAAAACACAATAATCAAACCTCTGCTGCAGAACACATTACGATCTAATATGCATGCTGTGCTGGTGCGTGAGGATCACCCATGGAAAATGTCATATTTCGTACCGAGCACCGAGAATTCAAAATTTCATCTTCTATTGTAATAAAAAAAAAACTGCCAGACTTGTGCGGAACGTGCAGCACAGTCCCAGTGGAAGCTGGAAGACTGTCCTTTCAGAGCATTTTCCAAACACTTTTAGGGTAACTGCTACATGCGCACTTGCTTCACATCCACTACACCATAAACATTCATAATTTCTGTGTAGTAAGCCGGCATTCACTATGCTATTTTTTGTCATTCTTCGGAGAAGCGTGATATCTGCTACACACTTGCAAGAAAATTTGTTCAAATTTTTTTATGTAGTGGCTGACGATGATGAACAATTATGCCTGAAGCGGGTAAGTTCCACAGTTGATAGGTGATAAAGAACAAGCTTTTGTAAAGAGTTAGAGCACAAGACAACCCACTCATTATGCAATGCACATTGTGTGACACCTGGTTGTTCCTCTGCTGTTCTAAAACGCTTTATTGCTCATACTAACGTGCTCATACTAACGCCATTCCTTTCCCGACATCAAGCCTGCCTAAGGCAAATTCGCAGCAGAGTTTCAAGCACCGGTATGCGGTAAAATACTGGGCTGGCACACAGGGGACCTGGGTTTGAATTCCGCTGTGTGCTTGATGTTTTTACATATTTCATGCAATAGTGGTTACAGGCCACGGCGGACAACTACGGTGCTGCACGCAGCCCTAGTGATCTCATAACAGCTATTGCTGTAAAAGCAGTTAATGGGAGAGACAGTTGTGCAAGTCAGGAAAATTTTGACAACGTGCATGCACGTACATGCACAAAAAAAAATATTGACAAAATACAATGCATCAAGAGCACCATAACGTGATAAAGAATACATAATTTCAGCAAAAACCTTCAAGTGAAATCGTTAGCTGTAGTCTATACTTACATTACTGATGAAATCACAAATGCACCTATGACAAATAAAAACTGAAACAGTTGGCGGCCTACCACTGAGAAACAGGATAAGCGGCGCATTTTCGTCCATCTGTCTCATACATGATTGGAAGAGCCAGCACTCTTACTCTGGGCAACCCCATAAGGAGCACGTCCTTCACTGTTCAAATGGCAAGCTATTTAAATCTGCCACTTATCGCTGCTCACGGGCATCTCGGGGGGGGGGGGGGCATCGTGTTTTCAGCATTACCAGCAAGACGGCGCGAATGAGCGCGCGTCGCCACATCGCGCGGCGGCGCGCACGCTAATCTCACACGTGTACTTTACCCCGCTTAGAGAAAGAGAGCGACGCTCCCCCACGCGCTTATGTGGGAAAGAGGAGAGGATCATACGTCTTGGCTGGCCTCGGGCTTTACCTGGAACGATTTTGTTGTAGTACCGGGCGCACAAATGTGACTGCAATCATTGCAGTCTTTGTTTGCGAAACGCACGCGCTTTTCAGACACGTCGAAGTAACGGCACGGCACGGAATCTGCACCTGTGAGTACCTTTCATGCGCCATTTGTGCATGAGAAACGCGGTGCACATTTCGATCTGCTTTCCATTCTACGCGTGACCTTCCAATTTGTTGCTATCGCGTTCATTGCTTGGCCTTCGCGGCAAAGCTGTGTCTTTCTTTTTTTCTTTCTCACGTGTTACGCTGTTTATTCAACACCCCTTCACAGCCGTTGCGAAAGTTAGGGGGCACCACGCTCATATAACAGTCAATGTACAACCCTTCATGCAATGAAAACTTGCGAACTCATTGTTGCCCCCGCCAAGCAGACTTCACTGCATGCATTCACATCATGCGGTGAAGCAAAACCTAAGTGTTGAACGTGATAGCAATATTCGCACGCACCACACGCGATTTTCGCTTCTCGGTAAACACCAAACCCGTGCTGCAATGAAAAGCGAACAGTGAAAAGGCCCCCCAGGCTTCTATCTTTATTTGCATATACCTGAAATATTAACTCGCAGTCAACGCTGTTTTCTCTTCCAACTATAAACGCCTATGACGCTGCCGACGCTAACACCGGAATTTCTGCGAACCAAGCTTTTTAACACTGTCTCGTGAAAAGCAGCAGTAGACACAGCGATAAAAAAAAAGAAGGTAAAGACCACGTGAAAATTATTTTCCACGAAGTGGAGTCTTCGTGGAATGCGGGTGTTGACGCACCCTTCCACTGTTGGTGACAGGGACGACTTCGAAGCGCGACTGACGCCGCTGCTCCATGGGGCTCTTTCGCGCCGTGTGGTCCATGGAGCGGCGCCGGGCCACCTCCTGGAGCCGCCGCCAGCGACCCAGCTGCAGCTCCATCAGCCGCAGAAGCTCAGCCGAGGTATCGAGCCCAGCAGGATCATAGAGTCTGCGAGAAAATGCGTGGGAACAACAACAACACTATCTCACTGTCACTTATGTTGAAAACGCGCAAGTCGATCTGCTCCAAACTCTTCGCGTCGCTACAGACGTCACCTGACCGCCTCCACATTATGAGCACCAGCCTCAACGTTTGACACAGAAAGAAATTAAAAAGCCCTTCTCTTATCCTCAAAATTGAGAAGGGCGAATCTTGGAGTGTGTGCATGCCTGAGCTACTTTTTCTTTTAGAACGCAGCCCGGCCCGTTTTCGCGCAAGCGGCGTCATCGTTGTCGACGTAGCCGATAGAGAGAACGCGGACGAAAAATAGACTGGCCCGAGGAGTCTGGAAAGCCTCTTGCCCACTCGCGGTGACAGCTCAACGCATACCTCTCACGCACGGGCACAGTAGGTTTTTTTTTTTTTTTTTTAGGGGCGAAGCTCCTTAGGGCGTGGGCTGTGCGTCCCCTGTAGCCTGTATGTAGCCACCTCTAGTTTAGTTCTTGCAGTGTTCACTAGATGGCGGTACCGTCCCCTGTATGTAGCCACCTCTAGTTTAGTTCTTGCAGTGTTCACTAGATGGCGGTACCGTCTCATGTATGTAGCCACCTCTCGTTTAGTTCTTGTAGTGTTTACTAGATGGTGGTACTTGTAGCTGATGATGAAAAGATGCAAGATGTTATAAACTAGAAAGCGGTACTTGTAGTTGATGAAAGACGCGAGATCTTATAAAATAGGAATGATGTCACATATGGCACGTGTCATTGGTTGAAGGCAATCGTTCGATTTAGTAGGGCGGCATACGCTAGGGGGAGCGATGTAATAAAATCGAGTGGGCAAAATGTACAGAGGATTCATGGTTTACCAGGTTTACCTCCGGAGCTTCGCCCACTCATCATCATTCACTTCGTGGATATGGCGGAATTTTTTTTTTTACCTGCGAGGCTTATTGGGAGACAAGGACATGCGTTGCTACAGTGTCTCCTCTATTTTATTGCTATAGCAATTATATAGACACTCTCGGCTGGATTTCGCCGCCAGCGTCGATGCCATACACCGTATATTACAACACACACACACACACACACACACACACACATATATATATATATATATATATATATATATATATATATATATATATATATATATATATATGAACGCGCAAGTAAGAAAAATATCTCGGAAAAAAAACACTCCGGCGCGCGGAATCGAACCTGGGTTCTGCACGTCGAAAATGCGAGGCGTTAACCACTGAGCCACCGAAAGGTACCTCCTTCACCGTTCAAACGGCAAGCTATTCATATCTACCACTTACCGCTGTTGCCGAGCATCTCGGGGGGAGGGGGCTATCGTGTTTTCATCATTATCAGCAAGATGCCGCAGTGGGTGCGCGGCGGCTCTGATCTCTCACGCGTACTTTCGTCCGCGTAGAGAATAAGGGAGAGGGGGTGTACGCCCCACGGGGCACCTTTATCTTGCAGTGGGAAGAATCGTACGGTAACTGTAATCGTTGCACAGCCTCCGTTTGCGAAAAGGGTGCGATATTTGGACACTGCAAAGTAACAACTGAGATGTTTATTCGCGTTCATCTGTACCTGTGAGTACGTTTCGTGCGTCATTTGTGCGTGGGGAACGCGTGGAACGTTTCGATCTGCTTGCCATTCTGCGCGCGACCTTGCAATTCGTTGCTATCGCGTTCATTGCTTCGCCTTTGCGGCAAAGCTGTGATTTCTTTTTTTTTTTTTTCTCCCACTCGCGCCGCGTCGCCTCGACGCAAGCGCAGTTGCTCAACTTATGGCAAACTGAAAACACTTAAAAAGCTGCGCTCAGAATTCACACAGGCAGTATCTTATTCGTCGGTGAATTTCTTTCTTCCTTCCTTCCTTTTTTTTTTTTTGTTTTCCCATTGCGCGATGCTGTCTTCCTCCAGCCGGGAATCAGACCTTCGTCCACGTACAGCCAGCCCCACCCCTTTTTTTAAATCTAAATAAGCGAGCTCCGACCACCGAGACTGTTCCGGGCGCCCTCATGTCCGTTTCGCGGAACAGCCTAGCAAAAAACAGCTGCACAGGACTATCGCAGGCATGCGAGTATTCTCGTTCATTTTGCCGCTTATCGACTGAGCGGTCGACGCTAGAGCGTTCAGGCTTTAAAAAAAAATGGGTGGCTGTACACAGTGGCGCAACACTTCAGTTGCTACACGCAACGACTACGGTCATGCGTTTATAGGCAGGCAACGTTCAAATGAGGCAGCGCAAACCAACCGGTGACCTGAATAAAAGATCCCATTTCCATATCAGCTAGAAATGGCCGGCAGCCGACAAGCTAACTATCGAGAGAGTGTAATTACATAAATCGGCGCATATAAAAATGCGCAGACATATACAAATACCTTCGAGGTCCGCACATATCTGTATGATCACCGGCACCGGTTTTCTCGCACACCACTACCGAAATCTGCGAGTCATGAAAGCTTCGCTTAAAGGAACTCCTCTACAGGCTATAATACCCATCCGTATAGTATATGGAAGAGAAGCATGCACTAACTTCTATAGCATGCAACAAGTATAAGGCCACCGACTCACCGGGAGACTCTACGAGGGGAAAACAGTTGAGGCGCTTGTTGGTGCGCAGCAGGTGCTTGAGGTCTTTGTAGGTGGCCCCTTGCCAGATGAAGATTATGTCGCGCACCATAATGTCCTCCACGTAAATGCTGTGAGCTCTGTTGCAATGTGCGACCAAGAGGAATCGAAGACGAAAATGAGAATTAAGAACATACTGCATGAGACATCGCTATTCGACAGAATCCGCGCCGTTTGACCAGCGTGTGCGCGACCAACAAAACTCACTCGGAAGACGTGGACAAGATAGGCGGCAGGTACGGTAGCTTCTTCAATTTGATGATCAAGTCGTACACTGAAGGTTGAAGCATCTGGGACACTGCATTCGCTATCAGCACCGCTATCTGAAATAGATCGGGAAGACGATCTCAGCTAGGCGCAAGAGGATGAGCATGGCGATAGAAGTGGGCTTTGCGGCAGTGCGTGCGTGCATAATGCGACATCTACAAAGTTTACTTAATGGTTAACGTGCCGCGCCAAACTACGTGAAAAATATAACTTTCATACACTGCTGCTGTTTGCATGCGATCGTCATCCTAGTTATACGGGTGTAAAGATGTAATTTAAGAATTTGTTGCAGTGGACGGCTCTCACTTCAACAGTAGATCTCTTGCGTGCGTTAACGTTGAACGCTATATGCCAGACATAAGGAAGCTTTAGAATACCATTTGCAAGCTCTGCGGGCGTTGCGGGCGCTATATGAGCTTTAGAATAGCGTTTGCCCTGCTGCACCGCAACGCACGATCGCAGCAACACCGAAGCCTCGAAACCAGCGCTTGCGGGTTACATGCGGGCCGCGACGCAATTTCGAATTTTCTGCGTGCGGTGCGCGAACGCCGACTCGCGTTGCGACGCATGCGCAGTGGCAGCGACCGCACCGCAAGGGTTCGCGGTGCGCTATTCTAAAACTCCCTATAGAGTTCGGGCTACATTAACGTTCTGCACGTGCTCAGTTTGGAGCACGCAACGCAAAAGCCTTACCAAAAAGGTCGATTTTCGATAAAAACTCCCAAGCATTTCCCCGAGGGTGAACATGGTTAAGTGCGAATACACGGGGTGATGCTATGAGGGGTATTTATTAATTCGCTCTATTATATTTATTATTCACACTATGGTGCCTGTATGGTGTAATGGTTCCTGGGAATCGCAATTTGATCACACGGGGGAGTTTACGTTAACTCACTGGCGAATGCCAACGGATTTTAACTTTACTCCCCCTCACGACCCGCTCTCGACGGGAGACTGAGAGAGAAGGCGGGCGCGCGAGAGAGAGGGGTGCGCGCGCAGCTGCAGCGAGCGAGGAGAGCGGAGGAGCGAGCGAAGGGGGGGGGGGGGGTATAAAGCACGTTACAGACACCGATATCAGCGTCGCGTCCGTGGCTTATTCGGTAGAGCGTCGCGCTGCGGCCCGCCAAGTCCTCTTTCTTTTAAAGATAGAGAGAAGACTGCGGACGCCGCCGACGGCGGTGGATGGTTTGGGGTCGCTTATAAAGTGTATTCACACTTCAAAACTAACACCTATGCACGTGTTTTCCACAGAGCGAAGTGTGTGAGACTAAGGCGCAGAATGCGGCGCGCACCCAGCACTGCCAACACAAATGACGTGTTTTCGTCACGATACCATCGCCCGCGGTGTTTTCACAGCGACAGCAGGAGTGACACCTTGCGCTTTTTTCTGGCGTTCCGCTGCGCGCGCTCTTGAAGAGAGCAAACGAGCGGGCTAGCAAGTAATAAAGGGCGCGCGCGCGCAGTGCGCGTTCTGGAGCTTTGCAGGCAGTCGTCAGAGGGCGCCTCGGTGCTGTTCGACACGCGTTCCCCTGGTCCGGAATATTCTGAATGCCACTGTACGTCGCCAAGGGCAAACTGTTTTTACTGTGCAAACCGTTTCCGAGCAAGCTGTGTTTTCTAGCAAACTGTCAATGCTAAGGAGGACGAAGACAACACAAGCTAGCCAAGTCATTGCGTTGCGCGTGCTTGGCGCACCAACGCAATAAAGCTTTCCGGTCACGCCAGAAAGGCCTAAAACAGGTCCGCTGTTAGCAAATGTCGTCGGGATTCCCAGCGTATAAAACAAAAAACACAAACAGCGAGGCAGAAGAGGTTTGTATACTGACCATAACAGGAAGAATGTGCGACATCTGTCCCGTCATCTCGAACGCAATGACGGCGGTCGATATGGTTCGTGTTGCTGCTCCGGCCATGGCTGCTGCGCCTGTTAGAACGAACAGAACGTGCCAAAGCCGAGCTTATCTTCGACTGCACACATATATTTAACACGCGAGCTAAACATCGCATTTAAAACGTCATTCCGAAAGTCGGCTTCAATACACAAGGCGCGCGACTGTAAGACAGTAAATATCTGCGCTGGCTAGGCGAGGGTTGATTGCTTTAGGCAGTCGTAAGCTTTCTGTATCAGGAGCACATGCTCACCTGCCACGGCATAGCCGCCAGGAATGACTTTGTTGATGTTGTCGCCCATGCGTATCCCTTCTGGAAAAAGGACGGCCATCGTTTCGCCGACGAGCCTGCCGAAGGCGGCGCCTGAAACAAACGGTGGAACATGCCGCAATATTGCACGGGCTCGACTGTCGGTCCGGATGAGCTTGAACATGGAACGCAGTTGTGAGTCTCGCATCGAGAATCTTGAACTTCTGCTAACTTAGGTATTACTATCAAAAGAGTAGTGAGAAGTGAAATTTTTTCAGAACGAGATATATAGTAACGATATGGCCTACCTGATTCCATGTCGAATGAATATTCACAGAAAAGTCACATGCACACTATTAGATACGTACTGGCGTGACACAGAATACACGTGTGTCTGATTCTCGAAAGAGGAAAACGCGAACGCTAACCTTTTCTCTAAGTTTCACACGCACTTTCCAATCCTAACAACGCAACGTTGTCGCTTAACACCTCCTTTGCATGCGCTATGCGCTTCTTTCAACTATACAAAAAAGGCACCAGTTACAGAATCATCTGGACCGCTTACCTTTAGGGCGAAAGCCTTAGACGCTTCATCGAAACCGAAAATTGACCGCCGGTGGCGTCAACGCGAACGACGCAAACAATTATCGCGCTATGACGCCATGTTGACGTCACCATGACGTTACCTGATCACGTCGCTACATGACGCCGTCGTTTGTAAAAGGTGGGTCGATCTCGAAGGCACTAAAAATCTAGTGACAGTGGATTGTGGAGGCTGTGCTTAACCCTTAGGCGTGCGCACGAGGCGGGGGGGGGGGGGGGGGGGCATGGGACAATGATTCCTTATAGTCAGATGAGAATGGGGGCACAAAACTGGCCCCCTATGTGAACCCCTACATTGACTTATTAGATATGGGGGGGGGGGGGGCGCCAATGTTTGTCCCAAACATTGAAGTATTAGGGAGGGGCGCGCTGCGGCGAACCCTCAACCCCCCCTCCCCCCTGAAAGGGACTCCTGCGCCCTCCTATGGCTCAACCACGCAAGGTGCAGAAAGCTACGAGTTCATGCGAGTGTGTTCAACACAAGCGATTGAAAAGAAAAAAAGAACACGGCTCGAGCTTTCGAGTCATCGAGCCATCTTAGTAGAATGCACAAGTGAAAATTTTGGTACTCCGGTTAATAACTGCGGATTACTGCCACGTCATTTTTTCCCTTTCTTTTCTTTTTTCGTCGATTAGGTCACATGGTATACACGTCACAGCAGCAGAAGGTGCAGACGGACGCGACGAAGCCCTCACCCATCTTGAAGACGGGTATGAAGAGGCCCAGCGGTACGGGTATGGTGGCGGCCAGAGCGGTCATCCACAGGTTCATGAAGATGAACAGGCTGAGCGTGAGGAATACGCGGCCCTTGGTGGTACCCCAGTGGTTGACCACCATGTGCTCGTCCACTCCCAGCTCGCTCGAAGTCCACGTGAAGTTCGAGAACAGGTCGTGCACCGCCTCGTGCGTCGTCAGCTGCAATGCTCTGCATGCTTACTCGGGCGATCGAACAATACGGTACGCGTACACACTGATGCGCGAATACGACAGGACGACAGAGAAATACACGCGTAGCCTACACAGGCGCTATGCCTCTGGCTGTTAACTTCGAAATCTAGCTATAAAGTCTAACTATGTATTTATACAAGCAAGCGTCACGTAAATCCACATTCCGAAACTTCCTTTTTATTGACACTGCCACTGGCAGTACAAGCAGCAGTGGCGTAGCCAGGGGGTACTACAACAAGTCCGTGCCCCCCCCCCCCCCACACACACACAATTTTTTTTCGCCATAGAATATAGAGGGAGAAATGGCCATGTTAAAAAGGTGATCCCCCTTCAGAAATAAAATATCTGCTATACGCCCCTGATAAGCAGTCATAGTATTCGTTTTCACAGCGTGAGCTGCATTGGCTACCTGAAATTCAGCATTTCCTGCTCCCCAGAAAAGCATACCGTATTATCGAAGAACGCAGAAAATAAATCCAGGCGCGTGAGTGAGACGGCAGGGGTACAACACATTGTCATTGGAGAGAGCGCTATGAAAAAAAAAATGACAAGTGCATGCCGTATGTGGGACAAAAGCACACCTAAACGCGATCGCTTCTCCCCACCACCGAGAGGTCATATATATATATATATATATATATATATATATATATATATATATATATATATATAAACCTTGCAACATCCAAGATGAAAGCCCAGCAACTAAAAAAAAACATAAGCGGCGTTTTGGACAGCTACTATAGCTCCAACAAATTTTGGCATTCGCAAGCACAAACGCATTATTGAATGCGCACGCGTATACGAATCCGGGCATGCGCACGCGCATTTCCACATGCGCACGCGCATACGCATTTCGGCAATGAGCACGCGCACAGACATTTTGGCAGGCGCACATGCTTTGAACATGATGTAAGAAAAATCAAGTGTTGACAATGAGCGCGCCTGATCGGCCATATAATGTTCGGTCGCGTGTTTGCACTACGCTGTCAGCAGTTAGATGGCGCCACAGCCAACGTACCCAACGAAGCAGTGCTGGCGCATTGAAATTCCTCTGCCTGTCCAACGTTGTCGTTCTTGGTGGCGTGACTAACACTCAAAACACGAAAGAAATTTGTGATTTCACATTAAAATATAAAGCTTCGCCAGACATCACCATTACATTACAAATTGTTGCTATCACAGCCATCGCTACGCCGGTGACACAGATTCTTCATTTGTTTTTAGTTTATCGCAAAAAGCTCGCCGCACCGTTGCCGAGCAACCACTGAGCACAGCGCGGTCTCGGCGGCTGCTCGGCAATGGTGCGGAGAGTTTTTTTGCAACAGCAGTGCCGTCTTTATATTGTCCCTTACAGCTTTGCTTTTAAATCGTACATAAGAGTCACATAAGGAGGTATGCGCACGAACGCCAACTTAACAAGAACCATGAATTGTGATCACGTGACGCAAGATTAATGCGTGATCCGAAATACGATGCTAGATATGCAGGCGGAATAACATATGAACGCGATTGCGTCCTTTGAGCAGCCCACGCGTGTTGCTCGGTCGTAATAAAGCTCCTTACTGAATTTGGCGTTGCACGCTTAAATTGCCATTTAGGCGTGGCTTGGCGCAGCAGGCCAGATTGGCGCATCATGGCGCAATTGGCGCAGCCCTTCCACCCTTGTATGAGGTTAATCCGCACGCGAGCGCATGCATTACAGGCCACGGAGGAAGGAAAGGTAGGAGAGGGCATGCCTAGCTGGCGCAGGGCGTAAAAAATGTGGCGGAAATTACGTCACAGCGGCCATATTCCCTGGGCCTTCTTCCTTCCTCCGTGCCTGGGCACAATGGCAGCGTTTTGTTATTGTTGATGTACTACAGTGCGGCACCATTCTGGCGGTCCAGCGGCGGTGTGCGCGTTTTCATAGCCCACAGCCTGACCGAAAATTTCATAAAGCCTAAAGAGAAGCGCAAAATAGGGGAAAGTGATCTGAAAGAAGCTGTACAAACTTCGGTGCCTGGTTCGTCGTGCGGCAATGTCCGAAATATCATCTTTATTTTCACAAAGAACACATCAAATTAAAAAAAGCTTAACGTGCAACTTGCAGTGTTTATCGTAAGCGCCGGCAGTGCAAGGGTACAACACCCATACGCAGAGATTTCGTCAACTGTATCGCGGCAAGACAGCGTGTTGAAATCCGTTCCGTTGGTTTCGGATAGCACTGGCGCACGCGGCGCGCAGGCCACGTGCTTTTTGAGACAGAGAGGGAGTCGCGCCTTCTGCTTCGCATTCATATGTAAACAAGAGAGGAGAATTTGCCCAGTCAATATGTCCGGCTTCATCGCGGCTTCACAACGAGTCACGTCAGGGCCTCTCCCACCTTTCCTTCCTCCGTGTTACAGGCCAACCGGTTGGATCTGGTTGGTGCTGGCGCAGACTAGAGCGTACTGCACCCGTGCTTTAAAAAAAGAAATTACCAAGGGGTTTCTATGCAAGTGCCCTTAATTTCACATCTGAACACATGTGACGGAGTAACGCCTCTACACCTTAGTGTTACCGCATCTGTCAAACATTGTCGAGTTGGGGCTTTTTTTTTTTTCACGCAGGTGAGGTTTTGTCACCATCAAGTGACAGTGGTAGTGCTGAAATAACTCGGGAACGAGTATAATGTAACGTTCGTGCGCGCCGCGCCCCCATGGGCTCGAAACATGCAAACGAGCGTCACACGCTACAGTACATCAGCTGAGAAGCATTTTTGTTTAAAAAGAAGCGACTTTTTTTCACCATTACAAAGTATTAAACTTGATGTGAAACTTATGTATTACGCCGCTAATTAATGTAACGAAAAGCCGGGGGAGATTGAAGAGCAGCGAATCGACATATTTATGAGACGCTCCACCCCAATAAATATACGGCCGACATGTAGAGCGTATCATAATGCGGGCCCCTGTAGGTAGTATAGTTAAAATACGTACGCTAAATTCCAGATGAATAAACCAAGCAATCCTCTTAATCTAACGCCCACGCAGAATTCAGTCTGCGATCATATATACAACCTCCCCCCCCCCCCCCCCCCGTTCCCCATCCTATACGTGCGGTTTATTATTGATGGCGGTGACAGGTGAAACTGTTAAAAGCAAATTCAGGGAAAATGAAGCTCAGTTGGTAGTGCCATCGTGCTGTTTAACTTCGCTCATGTCTCCCCAACTTGACCGAACAAAAGCGCTCCCTTCCCCCATCCACGCACTCCGTCGGCGTCGTCAGATGTCGGGCGGATGCTCACCTCTGCAGCCATAAACTGTCCGAGGCCCTCGGGAAACGTGGCCGATGATATGAACACAGTAATAATCAGCGGGTACAGAAAACGACTGTAAAAGATAACACAAAGAAAAGCAGAGCCGTTACACTCCACTCATACGTCGCGTGAAACGTAAAATGAAGGGAAAAAAAGTGACGTACATCAGCGATTCGCAGAAACAAGCGCGAATAATCGTCACTGTTGCTTCAAAATGAATATTTTCGCGCCGCGATATAGTTCGACCCCTGCTACGGAGCTTTTCTTTTCGTTTTTTTTCATCTTTGCAATTTATTAGTGCATATTTTACAACGTCGTGTTAGTGACGGAAATACGTCAGCGGAGACGTGGTGGACTCCAGCAAGAAAAACACTTTGCTCTAAGAAAGCTGTTCTATGTAGGCGTATTTAGGAAGTCACCTGATTCTCGGACCTTAGAGTGCAATAACCGCGTTAGAGTGCATTAAGTGCAATAACTTAGAGTGCAACTTAGAGTGCAATAACGGTGTCTAGTGTACTGCCGCCAATCAGTCACATACAAAGTACACACGCGCACGCATGCCACACAAAGCTGGACAAACAGCAGGTGCCGACCAATTATCACGTTGGAAACTTTGCTGTACCCTGTCGGAGGTAAAGTGTGCTTACGAATGGCAAATAAGCTTTGCGAATTTTGACCTCTGATCATCTGATTTTTCATTCGTGCCATCCTGCGCAAGTTTCAAGCTTATAATGAAATGAAAAGAGGCAGCGCTGGAACGAATACAAAAGGCGATATGACGAGAGGACATGCGCAGTCCTGTCGTCATCTCTTTTTTTTTTCTATTCGTCTCAGCACTGCTCCTTTTCATTTCATTATGCAGCCAAACAAACTCGCCCACCTTTCTGCGATTGTGATGTGCACGCTTATCATTCAAAATGTAATGACGCAGAGCAAACCAAAGAAGAGGTGCAGGCTTTGCGTTGCGTCATTACCATTCGTACAGCATGAACCAACTAGCCCATCATGTTTTATCTTGCATGCTTATTACGTATACTCCACACCAGGGTAGATGTGGTTAATGCCTACCGCATACGGCGCACGGCACAGCAGTGGGCTATTCACTGATGGTCGCGTTGTTAAGGAAGAAGCGGCACACTTCAACGCATACGCAAAGTGTGCACGGTCATTCGTCTGTGTAATAGTAATAGTTGAAGTTTAACGTCCCAAAAGTAAGATATCATAATGAAAGAGTGGAGGGCTCCGAAAATTTCGACCACCCGGGTTCTCTAACGTGCACTTAAAGGGACACTAAAGACAAATATTAAGTCGATGTTCATTGCTAAAACAGCGGTCCAGAAACCTTATAGTGTTGCTTTTGCGCAAAGGAAGGGCTTATTTCGAAATAAAAATCAAGTTTTAGTAGTTTGCATCACGCTAGCACACTTCAAATTACCCGCCCTGATTGAACACTTTGACGTCACTGTTACCGTGCCCAACGTTGCCCGGCTATACTTCGCTGCTGCCGTCACTAGTAGCAGCAGAGAGACGGTAGCGGGTGCCACCACAGCAACAACAGCCATTGAACAATTTTGTGCCATGGCCTCCGAGATGGCAGGCGTGCTTGGTTCAGCTGGGTCCCTCTAGATGGCACAACCTGTCCCGCTTAACCCGGCTAAAATGAAACTTTTGAACCACTCGCGCCATTTCCCGTAGTAACGTCCAGCGGTTCTTTTTTTATATAAATCAGACAGAAACGGACAAGGGGCATTTTTATTACTTTTTTTTGATGCACGGTATAGTTTTTTTATTGCTGCTAGTTCGATTACAAGTGATAAATTGTAGGCGGTAACATTGACGTCATTGGGATCATTTTGCGAATGTCCTACTCGTGGCGCATGTGCTCTCGCGCATTAAGCTTAATTTCTAGGTAAGTAGAGCACTGCTGTTGATAACATTGTCATTTCAGACGCCGTCATACATTGAGCTTTCACTCTGACATAAACTGATTGATTGATATGTGGGGTTAACGTTCCAAAACCACTATATGATTATGAGAGACACCGTAGAGGAAGGTTCCGGAAATTTCGACCACCTGGGGTTTTTTAACGTGCGCCCAAATCTGAGCACACGGGCCTGCAACATTTCCGCCTCCATCGAAAATGCAGCCGCCGGGATTCGATCCCGCGACCTGCGGGTCAGCAGCCGAGTACCTTAGCCACTAGACCACCGCGGCGGGGCACTCTGACATAAACTGTTATTTGCCTTTAGTGTCCCTTTAAATCCAAGTACACGGGCCTTGAGCACTTAAGCCTCCATTCAAAACGCGGCACCAGCGAGCTAGATTAGATACCGCCACCTGCACCACAACGAGGCCATGGTGGCGGGTTTTGGGAGTGATCCGGGTGAGCACGTACTTTCTCTGCAGGAATGCGCTCATGCGCTTGTGTTTTCGGTTGAACAGCACAACCCTCTTGTGCATGTAGACGAACGTGGCACCCAACACTCCACAGGCGGCCCTGCAGACATGGGGAACAATGAATGGCAACAAGGAAACCATACGTGTCACCAACGCCATCGAATATAGCGAGTGTCGACAAACTGATACACGCGGTTGGTCAAACACTTACCCCATCACAGCGTAAACGACTAGTTCAATGAGATCAAAGGGAAAGTCCATTCGGAAGTTTGTCCTGAAGACTGCAGTTATCGTATCTGAAAGGCAAATCGATGATGTAGTTAGATATCGCTGTCCATTTTCAGATACGTACGAAAATAAACATTATAATCTTCGCTATATAGGAAAAACAAATAAAGAGTGGATAAGAGAACAAACAGGGCAGCCGATATTCCAAGTGACACAACAGATATAAGCTAGTAGATATAGGTCGACTTCAAGAGATAGCATTTAACTACCACTTGGTAGCAAGTAGCTTGTCTCACGTCATTCATGAAATTTTAGCTTGACGTGCGGCTGACCGAGCATTAATTGTATAATGTTACTTGATCCTCGAATAACTAGCATAATTTTGCGCATATTCGATTTTTTTTAATCCGCGATGAAACATACAATATTCCAAATTCAGTTCAGGGTGAATTTCAATATTAAGAAAATTATTAGACATTTGGCTTGAACACTATCGCAACTAAATGAGTTAAAACTCAGGTTTTAGCTTTAGTAAACACGTTACGTTGCCTTCCACACTCATGGCGCACTAGGCCCGTGAGATACACAAAAATCTCAAGAGGCCAAGCACGGCTCGAGTAAGCGATAACTGCAGTATCAGCCCTTATCATTACACAGTCACGGTGCAGCGACGAAGCCTGCCTGATACAGCTGCACGCGCCGTTACTTTTGAACTGTTAATGAGGTTAGATTATGTATACAGTTGCGTTCTGCTGTGCTCCATAGTTCGCTAAGAAACGTGACACGTTAAATACCGCCAATTAAGCTATTGCGACAGCAATTGCCGTCGACGTTAAGTCCCGTTTAGAGTACAAGGACCATGACGTCACCGCACGCGTCGTATATGACACGCACGAGTGAAAGCGTGCTAGAGGCAACCGACGATCGCGGCTCAAGAATAGAGCAAAGAACGTCGGCCGCCTCCATCACGCGAACGACCAATGGAGCGACCGGAGGCGGAGCTGCGTGGATCCGGACTGTGCACTGGCTGCGGTGGCGGGCGCCCTATTTCAAGAGAGATTAGCAGGCGGCTCGTATACCTTTGGGCGTGTGTGTCTTCGTCACCCGCTGCAGCGTTTCCTGCTGGAGCACCACGCGCTGTACAGTAAATAGAGGGGTACATTCCCCCACATACATTGTACCTCGGTAGTGGTGCTTTCCTGATTGTACATGCACCCTTTGTAGTCGTGAAGCTCGATGTTTTTGTCATGTACTTTATTCTTGGTTGGAAGTCAATAAACTTCTCTTTGTTGCAGCGTTTCCTTAGGAGGAGTGAACTGCTAGCCTTAGTTCGTAAACATTCACATTTGTTGCTGCCGCATCACTGCGTGCTTCGCCCTTGCAGAGAAACTGTGACTAACAGCCAGTTATGCCGGAAACGGTACTACAGCTAGTTAAGCCGGAAACAGCTAGTTAAGCCGGAAACAGCTAGTTAAGCCGGAAACAGCTAGTTAAGCCGGAAACAGTACTACCCAAAATCACCATTTACTTCCGACCAACGCGTGCGGTACTCATCGTTATCATCATCAGCACGACTACGCCCACTTCGGGGCAAAGACCTCTCACATATTCGCACTAATTACGGTTGTGTGCTGGTTGCGACCAGCGTTACTTGGTATGAGGCGTTCACGAACGTATCAACTGCGACATATTATGCGAGTGAACCACCCTGAGCGAATTCTACAGCTAGCTAGCTGAATAAAGGCCAACTCCAGCAATTTTTCAACCATACCAGGGTAATTAATGGAGCTACTATGTTCTTTACACACTCTTGTCACGAGTCTGATAGCTGGAATGCGCAGCAAATACGAAAATAATTTTTAATGAAAAAAAAAACCGCAAATTCCGAAACTCAACCGAGCTCACTGGCTACGTATATGACATACTGTTTGATAAGAACCGGGAGTCGTATACTGGTCCCGCCAGCGCTGAGTATGAAAACTGTGAAAGCCGAGACGAGCGGGCGCTCGGAGCAGAGGCGAACTCGCCGAGACGGCCAAACTCCACCGATGAAGGAAGGAAGCTTTTTCCGTGCCCAACACCACCGCCGTCGCCTAGCGGCCAGCGTAGTAAACGCTTTAGCGGCTACGTGGCCTCCGCGATCAGCCGATCGCAGAGGCCACGGCGGCTAAAGTTAGCGATGCCATCGGCTGGGTCACTTCCGTTGACTTGCCAAGCATGCCGCCGCACAGAAAACGTTGCCAATAATTCTGGTAAGCCGAGGTGAGCGTTGCGAGGCAATCTTTTAAAATTCATTTGTAAACAATCAGAGCATCTTTCAAGCACGTAATTTGGCAGAAATGACGAAAATGTACAAAAAAACGTACCCAACGAATTTCATTGAGATCCATTGACCTTAAGAAAAAAATCGCCGGAGTTGGTTTTTAAGGCATAGTTTTTGTTAACCCAAGGCTTCATGAAATGCACAACGAAAGCAAAGTCGTTTCAGGCTTCGCACGCTCTACAGGGGAAATATATATGGCGAGAGTACAACGCTGACGTACCGCGCCGCTTTGTTGACATCGACAATGGTACAGGCCCGTCCCGCTGCGCATGTGCCACATTTAACTCTGACATGCACCCGCATTCGCCATTGTCAAACAAACTGCGCGCATAACAACAATAACAACGCGCTGCAGCTGGCTCAGCACGACGGCGTGAAATTGCAGAGAAAGAAAATAAGATACGCGTCAGCGATAGACGGTTCGGATTTCCGTTGCGCTCCCCGCAACACTGCGCGCGGCCGGTTTCAGCACGCATCCCCGCAGCAGAGTCGCCGTCACGCGCAGCAAGATACGCGAGAACGCAGCACTACAACGTCACGCTCAATCGCGCTTAGTGAAGCCTTTCGGCCGCAGCGCACGCCGCAGCGGGTTGAGAGCACAGTACTTTCATGTAGCCGCTACGGCAATGCCGTAAGCATTTATATTCTTGCGTTTATGTAGTCCTCAATTCAAAGCCAAAACCTCAGACGCCTCACCGAACGCGACAAGTGACAGTCAGCGTACGCGTCAACACTAGTGATTAGAAAAAAAAAGATCCTCCTTTGTACTGAGGTCACCCTATCACGTCATGGTGCACATCGGTTCTATTGTAAAAGCAATCTGCAATGTGCACTGTGTCCATGCGCTTCGAGTATTCGATTGAGTCGACATCACCCTGCCAATCGTTAGCTTCCCGGTTGGTTCAATTAATAGAGCGACTATCTCGGAAAGGCGTTGATCCCGAGTTCGATCCCCGAACCAGGACAAAGTCTCGGCAACTAAAAAGCTTTCATTTTTTAGAAATACGTACGAATTTATTTGTGCTTTCATGCTTCCATCATCTGACCATTTTCTTCCCCTATCACGTCCTGATGGCGGCATTCGACGGGACATAACGTGACGTCCCGTGATGACGTCATCACAGCGCACCGTCACCCGGCCAAAGCTTGGACGATTTCGGAGGCACAGCAAGACCACGTGAAGTGCAAAACGCCTGCAACGCTTTCGATCTCGGAGGCAGAGTAAATCCGCCTGAAAAGCGTTCGTTTCTCCTATGACGTCTAGGCGTTTCAACGCGACTCGGATTGAGATGAAGGACGAACGAAAGCAAGAAACAATGCTCCTCAAGATCATGACATAGCTGCAGGCCGCCCGACCCGCCAACCTTGTCAGTTTCCTCTCATTTGCACACCTGAAAAAAGGCGAGCGCGAGTGTTACCCATTCAGCCATACGGAACGGCCGCCGACGAGACCACGTTTGCACAGCGGCTGGCGCGACATGCTTCGTTACGAAACAGACCGACCTTTGCGATTGGCGACATAAAAGAGTGCATAGCCAGCAGCGATTGTCACGCGCTATTGGACGAGCTTCGTGTACCGCAGTTTCGGCGACGCGCCATGCCGACGCAGGGCAAACCCTCCGGGGTTCTTCATTAGGCAGACAAGTGTTATATAACACGACATTTCTGCATGACATAGAAATAGGGGCCCGGAGCCGCGTGCAACAGTTTCACTCGAACAAAGCCATAAGCCAGTAATACACGTAAGTATTAAAAACTAAGAGGCAGAAAGCAGACACACTGCCACATGGGTGGCCACATCTGTGTCACTGTGTCGGCTACCCACCACTGTACTTCCTATTTTCACGCATTGGTGGATTTGTTCGAGTATAACTAAGTAGCAAACTCGGCCAACAATTAACTCTCTCGAACGAATAGGGGTGATGGGTTCTCTCGAACCCATCACCCCAATATTGGAAACAGGACAGAAGGGCTCAAAGAAGCCAGTTAGCAGGTGGGAGGGTTGTAAACATTAAACACACACATACACACACACACACACACACACACGCACAAAATAAATACAAGCCGTTTGATATCAAAGCACTAACTCCAAATTGAGGACTGTTTAAGAAGAAGAAAAAAAAACAGAGCAATGAAGAAGACGTGAGGAAAATACGGACAATGCTGCAACAATACCAAGCACAATCATGTTACGTAAACGCTCCAAAGGAAAATAAAACACACCATCTTCCCAAAGAGAACCCTGATGGAAGGCGAAGCAGCGGCGTTGCGCACGCGTGGCGTCACACGTGTTCAACGGCGAGGTCACCATTCGCAAACGCGATCGGCTTGGCTAACCCTTGCAACGCCGGAGACGTCTGGTTTAGGCCAAATCGTTTCGGCGGGTGTTTCGGCGGGCGAACGAGCATCGTCTTCCGGCACCCTCTCAATCGCAGATGAAACGAGCCGGAAGAGTGTTACCACTTGATGTGCGCTCGAGCGTTGCGAGCAGTGGAGAGGGTGAAGCGAGGAAGGGGTGACACGTACAGACATGTTTCCACACGCACGTTAGGCATGCGTTAGGTTTATTCGCGTGACCCGTCCATTCGGCAGTGCAGCGAGTAACAGTCGCGGTAGCGGAGCGTGCGGCGGTAGCGGCAGGTGTTCCGGGCGAAGAGACGAGGTGGCAGCTGCGAGCGCTGCGGCGAGTGCGCTACAGGCGAGGGAGAGAGTGACGTCAGCGCGCACTGCGAGGGGAGTGTGACGTAAACGCGCAGCTGCGGCGTGACCTACTTGGCACCGCTCCAACACTTGCGGCGAGGGAAGCGCGTTGCGGCGCCTCCATGCGAACACACGGAGGGACATCGTTACACAGGCTAGTCAAAGAGCTGCTTCACATCTAAAAAACACAAAAGAATGAAGGCTTCGTTTTAGTCAGTGCATCTAACCGCTTCTTTTTCTCCTTAAAATGAAAACACAAACTTACCATCAGACCACGAACGCACGTTTCTGAGGTTTTCCCACGTCATTCACCAATGGCTGATGTCTCGCAACACCGTGAGCGCTGAGTAAGTTTGTATGCTCACCTTGCTCCTTGAGCCAGACTCCAAGCAGTTGCCAGACGAGGGCGCCACAGGCAGCGGCGAAAAAACCGCGCCAATAGTTGCGCACCGCGAAGAAGACCGAGGTTACCTCGATGCTAAACAGCACTCCTGCACGGTTTTGCAATATATTTTTTTTTCAGAAATATGTTGCAGAAATGAGAGAACAGAAATTAAAGGAAAGCACAGGGAGGAGAGAACTGTGCATGCAAATTCAAGATCACAAGCGAATACTCAATCTAGTGTGTCCCCTGCCTCAGCGCGCACGAGGTCAACTGAGCACATGTGCCCCGAACTGCGTTTAGGATCTCAAGCTGTCTTCTGAACTAGTGAACCTCAAGTTCAAGCAATCTTCTTAGGTCAGCATAATAGCTCAGACGCTTTTAACCATTTCCCCTCATAACCACATAAAATGTCAAATGGCATAAAATACATGGCACTTTCTTAACTCACATGTCGTGAAACATCATATTGACGACGCAGACCGCCGCGCAGACACGTTTTAACAACACATCCAGTATCTGAAAGCAGTTCTTCGGGCAATTAGAACAGCCGAGCTTTCTCTCAAAGCTGAGAGAAGCCTTGTTTTCCAAAGCTTTTTTTTCAACAGACAGAATATTAGTAAAGACAGCGTCATGATCATACGTCATTTTCGTTCCGTTTCTAAAGTCCAGAATTTTAGTTCCCGACACAGTTCGGTTGCTCGTAATGTTACATTTACGAGCAGTATACTTGTTCCGTGCTGCAAGTGACGCAAATCAGATCTTTCAACCCGTTTAATTAGAAATATGCAGGGGTACTCGCGAATAAATGATTGCCAACACTACATCTCATCAACTTTTGTTGGTTTTCTTGAATGAATACCGACGCGAAACATTTGACTCAAATGCAAGCCCGCGTGAGCAAGCCTCAGTGCGTCCTCATAAACTACCTACACCATAGTTTAAAAAATAGTTACGGTTCCTATTGTATCTAGATGTCACGACACGGTGTGTACTTCTGGCCACGTGCACGATATCGTGACGTTTCCGCGACCGCTCCACTCGGTTAAGTTTGTTACGCACAACGAGCCATTTAAAATGTTTTTGAAACCTCACGTCATCGAAGCTAACCATAATGGCGCGTAATATGACCAGAATCGGCACTGTAGCGTGCAGTCACGATAGTGTCGAAGTCAGTAGTTACGTCGCGCGCAAATTGACTTTATTGTCGAAACAAGATATCAGCACTTCCTGCGCATGACAATTGCTCAGAGCCGCCTCTCCACACAAGAGATTCACGGGGCGCAGTCAAGTATCTTCGAAAATTGGTCTCGGTACCTCTTTAAGTTTATTTTCACGTCCCACTTCCCGATTTCAAGCCTACGTTGACGAGTTATGCGCGTCGAAGCATCGCAATTCGCGCAACGTCAGGCGACAACATGTGCGCTGCTTCAGCGACAAATTTAATGCGTGCAGCATCAAGTACGGACGAACGGAGACCCCAAAAGGACAGGTCGATATTACAGCATCTGGGGTGACTTAGAACAAACTCCGAGAAAGTTGATCATAATGATTAAATCTGGGGTTTTACGCGCTAAAACTACGGCACAATTATGACGCACGCCGTATAGTGGCGGGCTCCTGATATTTCGACCATCCGGTGTACTTTAACGTGCAGTGACATCTCAGTACTCGGACCTCTAGCAGTACGCTTCCATCAAAACGTGACCGCCGCGGCCGGGTTCGAACCCGTGACCTTGGGGTCAGCGGCCGAGCCCCGATACCTCGAAAGGGTTCGATATATTCAGATCGAATAGTGCCATACCGCCCAGCGGAGCTGCGAAGGTGCAGGCGACGCCCACGGCACAGGCTGCGGCGAGCATCTCGCTAGCCCGGGACTCGTTCTGGGGACGATTGGGGATGGGAAGGGAGGGCGACGGGGAATACGGGTATCACATGCAAGAAACAGGGAAGGGAAAAAACAAACAAAAGAGGGTATCAACAGAAATATAACTTAAAACGAAAACAGAAATCGAAAAAGAATAAAAATCAACACAAAGTACAACGACATGCTCCAATTAGAACGGAAGGAGAAGGCAAAGCAACCACATGCGAAGTAAGAACGATCTTTGAGAACACACAATGTCAGTTTCGTAACACGCAACAAACAAAAACTTCTCGTGTGAGGCACGAAAGCTGTTGCCGGCTTCGATGCTATGCGAAATGCGACTTCAGATGGTGGTTCTGCACGTATACGTTGCACAAGCGAGCCGCCTTGGCCACCTTTCTCCAGTTCCTTTAAAATTTAGTGGCATGGTGTCACACACAGGCCCCGATGTGACACCGATAATACAACCAATGTGATATCTTGTTTACGTTCTGTGATCGAATGGAATGCAACGTCACGAGAGAACAAACGGGTGCAAACAGTCAATGAGTGATGGAAAAGTGCCCCGCGAGAATGCTTTACATTTCGATAGCCCGCTGGGGTACCACATAACTAATTCAGAAATGTTTTTAACAAATGAATTAGTGTGCAGTTATTATTACACGCAAATGTCACTACTTGGGGGCACTATTTTTCAGAGCTTGAAATTGATTACCGTGACAACTTCAACAATTTCTTTTCGCGCGTTGATTGGGAGCTCGGTAGTGTTGCAATTTCACAAAAAATTTAGTGGTGAAGCTGGTGGTTATTTCGGCAAATTAAATTATTCCAGGCGGGAAAGCGAATTTCCTTATCCGGCCCGAGCGTATACGTTTTCGATCTAATCCAAGTCGTCGGGAGGCAGTATACCATATCCGACGAGACGAAACAGTGTCTCGGTTCTTTCCTAAGTAGGCGACAGATGATTGACAGCGCATTGCCTTTTCTGGTTGTAACTTCTCACATCTGGCCATCAGACGCGTACACACGAACGCCGACCGATCGCGTTCGGCGCTATAGAGCGTTCTATTACACAACGTGTACAAAACTCCAGCGTTTCGAAAAAAAAAAGCTAAGAATTTAGGAAACTATACGTGACTTGCTACGGGAGAGCAAGAACCTGTCTATGACTTTCCAACATTTACTTACCATTGTGATATGTGCGTATAAGTGTGTCTTTGCATATCTTTGCACGAGTTTTCTATTTTCCATGCACTGCTTTGTATGTTTTGCTTTAAGATACGTGTTCAGAGAGAGAGAGAGAGAGAGAGAGAGAGACGAGAAAAAAGGAAGACAGGGAGGTTAACCAGATTCTAGTATCCGGTATGCTACCCTACACTGGGGTTGGGGAATAGTGGGTTGAAAGAGAAAGGGAGAGTTAAAAAAAGGTTTAAAAAAAGCTTTATTGCAAGATACGTGTTCAAGTTTCAATCAATGGCTAAGGAGTAGCCGGCGCCATAATGGTGCGCCAACATCTCCTTATATATCATATCAATAAAAAAAAATGTGTGTGTTTAGAGAAACTTATTATCACAGACAGTATACATCAATAAGATTTCAACAGAACATGCAAAGACGCACAAAAACGCATTACAAAAAAAATGTATGCATATGTATATACATTACATGATAAACAATAATCACAAATAAAACGCGAATACGTTGAGTGTTTAGAATATGTGTTCCATGATTTAGAGTACGATGTATGTACTTTACCATGGAATAAGCTGTCCAAGTTTTGCCAAGCGTTAACGTGTGTTTAGAACAAATGTTCGACGATTTAGAGTACGGAAGACCATTAAGCTGTCCTAGTGCTATAAAAGAAAGTAAACTGCGATGCGTTTAGAACAAATGTAGGATGACTTAGAGTTCGCAGAACTCTACTGCGGGAGATCATTAAGCTGTCCCTATACTTCTGACAACCTAAAACGTCCATATAACTGTAGCTATATCACGGCGTGTGCTTAGAGAAAGTTGTTAACAATTTAGAGCACGAGGTACTCCACTCTGGGAGAGCATAAAGCGGTCCCGTGGGCCTCACAGTTGAGGCCGTGGCGCTTACCAGCCAACCACATAACTGTGCGTTTAGAAAAAGTGGTTAACGATTTAAAGTACTTGGTACTCTACTATGGGAGAGCATGAAGCCGTCCCGTGGGTAGATCTGTTTAGAAAAAAGTTGTTAACAATTTAGAATACTAGGTACTTTACTATGGGAGAGCATGAGGCCGCCCCGTAGGGGCCTTTCTTACGAAATTTACCAAGACCAACCAATGTGATGACAAGAACACTAATAGAAAACGAGTTTACCATTCGCTATGTACGACCATGCTATTACGCGCAACCTGAGAAAGCGCTCAAGTTGTCTGCCAGGCAAAACCTTTATACTGCATATGTATAGTGACAATCAAGCACTTAGGGTAACTACTAGAAGGAACATCACCATCTACCCATGTTCTTTACCTTAATATAAACAAAAGTGGCTAGCAAAAGAAAAAAACAAAATGGGATATTTTGCTAGACATCCTGAACTTTTAGAGCCGATTACTTTCTGTGGGCACCAGAAGCGCCACGACCTGCCGCGGAAAACGTCTTATTTTTGGTGGTCGTTTGAAGGCACACTGGCAGCACCAGCGATGTTTTTTAAGTGTGAATACACTTTATAAGCGACCCAAAACAACACGAATTTAGTCGGTGTTGCCCCAAACCATCCACCGCCGGCGGCGGCGTCCGCAGTCTTCTCTCTATCTTTAAAAGAAAGAGGACTTGGCGGGCCGCAGCGCGACGCTCTACCGAATAAGCCACGGACGCGACGCTGATATCGGTGTCAGTAACGCGCCTTATACCCCCTCCCCCTTCGCTCGCTCCTCCGCTCTCCTCGCTCGCTGCAGCTGCGCGCGCACCCCTCTCCCTCGCGCGCCCGCCTTCTCTCTCAGTCTCCCGTCGAGACAACACCGACTAAATTCCAAGGCCGAAAGGCTGCCGCAGTGACGTCAGAGGGTGGAGGCCCAGTTACCCAACTGAGCATGCTCAGTAAGACTTTTTTTTCCACATCTTTTATTCGGCCCAATCAAGCCGCAGCAGCTGCGAGAGCGGGAGCGTTTGTTCTCTTAAAACGCGAACGAAACACCGGCTTTCCGCGGCGTTCGCGGCGTAACTGGGCCTCCACCCTCTGACGTCACTGCGGCAGCCTTTCGGCCTTGGAATTTAGTCGGTGTTGGTCGAGAGCGGGTCGTGAGGGGGAGTTAAGTTAAAATCCGTTGGCATTCGCCAGTGAGTTAACGTAAACTCCCCCGTGTGATCAAATTGCGATTCCCAGGAACCATTACACCATAAAGGCACCATAGTGTGATTAATAAATATAATAGTGCGAATTAATAAATACCCCTCATAGCATCACACCGTGTATTCGCACTTAACCATGTTCACCCTCGGGGAAATGCTTGGGAGTTTTTTTTTTTTTTAATGCTTGGGTGGAAGCCTGGCGGAAGCTCTCGCAACTTCCCAGCAGCCAGTGCGAAGTCAGCATTTGCCTATGGTTAGCTTTAAAGACGTAGCCTTTTCGAGGGATGCGCGATTATATACAAGCGTTCTTTTTTCTAACGTAAACACTAGGTTCATTACGAAATGAAAGGACACTGTTCCCGACGACAGTATTTTGTCCGGATCAGTATCGATAACGCCACTTCAAATAAAGTTTGGCTAGACTCCATTAAGTTTCTCAACTAACCAGTAATACAAAAGGACACGTTGAGCAGTATACGCCAGAAGAAGAGTCCGTATTAAACTCACAAGGAGTGTAACAACACTTGCTACCTTTGGCTGTATCGTGTATATATGGCAAGATGGTGGTGATCGCCCACTCCCGCATTTTTCTTTACGAACCTCCACGGCCAGGAAGCATCGTACAAACCAAGTGCAAAGGGGCAACAAAGCGTTGCTCATCAACTTACGCGGGTTCGACTGGAGACAACGATGTCAGGCTTTCCCTGCCGGTGATACCAGTTATTATTGTAATACAGCTTTCAAGTCGTAGAACTTCAACTGAATATCAAAATTTATCATAACTACCAGCTCGCTATGCCACCAAAATGTTGTCACGTGTCCATCCGTACGGGAAGAGATGCAATTAGCTGCCTATTTTCAAACCAACACAAGCGTCTTTTTTTCGCTTAATGTTTCAAGTCGCTTTTTCTTTACATTGTTTACAAACGCGCGCAAAACTTGAATCATACAACGGTCACGAGTTACCTTTTCGTGTATTTACCACTCTATGCGAAGTTAGCTATTCCGAACATATCTTTAGTATTGTGCATGAAATACGCTACGAAAAGGTGTTCCTTCAAGCGCGATGGCGGACCTACTTCTTAAAGCTGAGTGATGACCATGCGTCTCGTTTCTTCCTGCGAACGCCGCGGGAAACTGTAATGCTTCCGAGACCTCCCGAGCGTCGATCTCGAAGGCTATACGAAGCTAGCGAAGAACACGTAGTGGACTCACCTCGTAGATGCCCTTGAAGGAAGCCACGATACGACTAAGGACTGTGGCTATCATACTCGATATGTGCACGAATGGTCCCTGCGGCCGAAGAGGGTGATGTGAGGCGTGAATAAAGAACAGCTTTCAGACGTGGCTGCGCTTAAAAGTTAAAAGAAACAAGCAAGCAGGCAAGCAAACAAACAAACGGCGCAGGGATGATACACAACAATTTCCTTCAACGGCAACCGGCGCCACGCAATTCAGTTTCCGGATATATTGTGAATTTGGCGGATTGAATGAGTTCATGGGTTATTACAACGAACGCCTGCACCAAAGAGAGCGCTCCGATTCGGGCTAAAGTTACACTATAAGGCTTCCTTTCGGAGCCATATATGTCTCCTTCAGGCGCCAGTTATGGTACACTGTCTACGAATGTGTCACATTTACACAACATAACTACAAGGCACTCATTGTTACATTCCAAGAAATATAATGAAGCAATGTGTTATTTCGTGTCAGTCATTCATTTTATATATTTATGTGTTTAGTTATTCTCTCCTCAGCCATGTACCATTCTAATATAAAAATAATGGAAACATAGAGTTCTAAATGTGCCCGCAGTTAGTTCTCGGTTGCGTTCATTTCGAGAAAAGAAAAGTAATACTCTTGAAGTTGATTCTAGAACGACCTGTCGAACAACACCTCAAGTGCATTCGCCTAAGCGATCTGTTACTGTTATACACAGCACATCGAGGCTAAGTCAAGACATACTAATTATGGGCAATGTTCAGTTCATCCAACGAGGAACGTATGCCTTGACTCCTTTGACCTCAAGTTGACACAGCTGGGGTAAACTATAGTTCCGTACACAAGCGCAGCTCCCGCCGCTGAAGGGGATATGGCCCCGTGCAGTTAAAGTCAAATCTCGGCCCGACAACAACACCAAGCAGGTTGTGTGCGATGAGCGAATTTATGACAATGTATGCGCGTCTCACGCGCAGAACATCCACCGATGACGTTGACGCGCATGATATATGATCTGCATGACCCACGCTGCGCAGTTTGTGTGTGTGTGCGTGTGTGCGTGTGTGTTTGCGTGTGTGCGTGTGTGTGTGCGTGTGTGCGTGCGTGTGTGCGTGTGCGCGTGCGCGTGTGCATGTGTGTGTGTGCGCGTGTGCGTGCGTGTGTGCGTGTGCGCGTGCGCGTGTGCATGTGTGTGTGTGTGCATGTGTGTGTGTGTGCGTTGTGTGTGTGTGCGTGCGCGTGTGTGCGTGCGTGCGCGTGTGTGCGTGCGTGCGCGTGTGTGCGCGCGCGCGCGCGCGCGCGCGCGTGTGTGTGTGTGTGTGTGTGTGTGTGTGTGTGTGTGTGTGTGTGTGTGTGTGTGCGTGCGTTTAATTCGGACGTCGAACACTTATACTTCTTATTGCCCGTTCCTGACTGCCACTCCCGTCTTGCACGTCTATAGCGTCTATAGGGCAGCAACAAACTTAATTTTGTAGCTTTAGGATTCTTAGAATTGCTACGATAGCTTAGAAAAAAAAAAAATAAACAATTTACCGCTCACGGCAGGTATACCGTATACAGCGTGGGCAATTCACGTAGCGAATAATTGCTGTCAGCGTCTAACTCCCCGCGCCGCCGTATCTCCGTGTTTACGTTATTACTTCTTATTGCGTTATACGCACCTGCTGCGACGCGGAGAGTGCCGTTGTGAAAGTGTGCAATCAGGCGCGACTCTTACGCTCTAATGAGTCCCACACGAGTTGATGAACAAATAAAGTGCGATACAGAGCCCCCTTTGACGCCGATTAGACGAACAAAGCAACTAATTAGAAAAAAATAAAAAAAACTATACGAAATAAATATTTCGCGATATCATACATTCCCGACAGCGATTGCCGGAGCGGCAGGTGCTAATCTGGACATCGCCAAATCACGCTCATATTCTTATACTGTAGCAACACGGTGCACTGCTGATCACGATAAAGCGCAACGCTGATAATATTGCTCAACTTACATTGGCTACCTACTTGCAGGAATATAAGCATGCTGCCGGAGGTAATTTTTCGGATAAGTGTCGCGGGTAGCACTGACTTTTACATGGTCAGGGCTCTCAAGCTACAAATTTATTATCTATTATGGCAGCAGACGCGAACAGGTCTTATTGTATCTAATAATTTTTATCGTTTACCACAGGTACAACGGTCCAAACAACAACAACAACGACGACGACAACAACAACAACAACAACAATAATAATAATAATAATGGTTTTACGACCCAAATCCAAGATGCGATTATCAGGGACGCCGTAGAGGAGGGCGTCGGAAATTTCGACCATCTGGTGTTCCTCTAATGCGTGCACTGACATGGCACAGTACACGAATCTCGACCATATCGCCTCCACCGAAATGCGATTGCCACCGCCGGGATCGAACCCGTGACCTCCGGACCATAGTGACTGATCCACCATGGCAGACGCAAACACATATGATGCGTATACGAGAACTCTGTGGGTTGCCTCATGAAGCGGCTCACCTCTTTTCCGAGCGGCAGTCCGCTGCCGAGGGTGCAGGTGAGGCCGATCACCTTGGCCACCAGGGCCCGGAAGGTGAGGTACTCCTTAAGTACGACTCCGCGAAGGATGGTCTTCATCTCGGGGATGCCGGAGCCTGCGACGCGATCGGTTGTCGGTATGCACGCACCCACAGCGTATACCCATACACATTCTTCGAGTACAACACGGGGCGCATTTGCAATGCTTCTTCAAAGCTTATCTCGTTAGTTTATTTATTTATTTATTTAGTTAGTTAGTAATAATGTCAATCCTGTCAGGCACTTTAACAGAAGTGGGTATAAAGAGAAGACAAACATTGTGACGCACAGCCACAAAATTATACAGCAGTTACATAGGGCTAAACGGTAACAATAAGTCATGATGATCATTAGGGACCTACCTTAAAAACGAGTGCAAAAAAAAAAAGATAACGCAAGAACACTTCGTCTCAATTGCATATGGTGCGCTGAACATGGCACAAAAAAGAAAGTTAATCTCATTTTTCTTTGTTGAATAGATGCATAAAGCAAGGAAGAAAGAAAGAAAGAAAAAAAAGAAATGAAGGAAAGAAGAAAGAAAAAAAGAAAGGAAGAAATAAAGGAAAGAAGAAAGAAAGAAATGAAGGAAAGAAGAAAGAAAGAAAGAAAGGAAGAAATGAAGGAAAGAGGAAAGAAAGAAAGATTAACCAGAAACGTGTCCGGTTAGCTACCCTTATGTGGAAGGGGAAAGAGGAGTAAAAAAAGAGAGAGTAGAGAAGGAAATAAAAAGAAAATGAGCAATACTATATTTTTTTTCTATATGCTCGTTTGTGCAGTTATACCCCGACGCAGTGAAAGCTACGGGTCGCGTCAGATGACTATAATGAAAACACAGAAGCCCCCCCTCTCTCTCTCTCTCTCTCTCGCTGTACTTCGTCCGATTGTGATCTGCGCGCCATTGGAAGCTGCGCGAGATCTTCGATGGTACCTAACAATCGAGTCATTTTCCCTTACACGAATTCCCGAAGGCTCGTTACTGATTGGCTGACACCGATTTTATATCAGGTGTTACGTCAGTATACTATGTGGGTACCATGTAGGCACGCCCCAGTTCGTATACAGTCGCATCGCTGGCAAAGTTGACTGCGGCATTTGTTTCTCAAATTTTATCCCTGACAGTTGATACCTGAATAAATATTTGATTCGACTATGGCGTTACTGCGTTTTATTTAAGCGTTCCAGCTCCAAAAAAAAACGTAACATTGCACAGGTCTCACACGGAAATTTGCTTAAATGATACACTGTACATGACTATGACCTTGCTTTGGTACGTACCTATTGCTTGCGGCGCTACGGTGTGAGCAAATCCAGATGAGAATAATATTAATAACACCGGGAAGAAAACCCAGACAACGTATTTCAATATTAAATTGTCCGTCAGATCTCTGTGTAGCCATCTTCTTGCTGCAAAGGAAAGAAAAAAAAAAGACACAAGAACGATACATGAAATTTTATGCATCTAAACCATATATACACGCTGCATGCACGCACACACATACACACTTAGAATGGGAGGAAATGGGATAACTAAGAGTTGCAATTAACGCTAGGCTCCATTTGCCTCAACCATAACCTAACTGAGATTTCACAAGGTCAGAGCTGAGATACTACAAATGCCATCGATTACGGTGAGAATATTCGCTACGACACGCAAAAGGAAAGTCAACATCAAGACGCGCTACAGTTATTGCTTCGATTGTCCAATTATTTTTGTTCCCTGTTGTCAGCACTACTTTCCGTTAGAAGTGTTGAAAATACAAGATAAGATTCTGCATCAAAATCAATTTTAGGTGCGATGTAGACAGACAAGTATACTTTGTCAATCTAAAAGAAATCGAGGAATAAGAAATTAACTGTAGGAAATATACGTTATCCGTCACGTCATGGCAAAGCTCAACGAAGTCGTCTCTTACAAATCTGTGAACACCGCAGTTGTCGTATAAGGCGGACACAACGTACTCTTGAGGAACATGGATATGCCGTAGTCCATGGAGAAACTGATGAGCGACGAGATGACGCCGAGGAGGATGAGGAAGACCCAGTCCTCGCCGAGGCGGGCGAACGTGTGTTTCCAGATGCTGGACAAGAAGTCTGTGGGGACATAGAGTATAGAATAGAATATATGCAGTGGATCAGCATAAAACGAAACTAAAAGAGCTCACTGATGTGTTACGCATCAAAGGAAACGTCAGGTTGAATTCTACTTCATAATCATCACCAGCAGCATATACCTCGTGTCCGCTGCAGTGAGGTCCCTCCCGCATATATCCGTGCGCTTTCACTCTTGCCTAGTGCATGGCGACTTATATATATATATATATATATATATATATATATATATATATATATATATATATATATATATATATATATATATATATATATATATATATATATATATATATATATATATATATATATATATATATATATATATATATATATATATATATATATATATACTGAATGTGTCTAGGATATCTAGGATATGTCACGCCGTTTACAACTCTAAAGCTTTGTCGTTTGCTAAGCTGCGCCCCAAAACTCATACGTAACTTTGTCTGTCATTCTAAGAAACTAGCCGTTAACTGCCCTACGTATACATCGCCTGCTCAGCCCAGTATCTTTTTTTCTTATTGTCAACATGAATACCGGAATTTCGCTCGCTGAATTTTCTTCGTGATTTCTTTCTTTTTTTGTTTGCTTGTTTGCTTTTGTCGAAAGCAAGCCCACAGGAATAATGTCAACGAGTCAATTCTATAATTAAACAACCTTTATGTCACGTTAGTAGTGCGCCATTGGTCCGACCAGATCTTCGCCAATGCGCCATCCCCAGAATCATCATTTGTCGTTGACAAAAAAGGGAGGGGGAGAGAGAGAAAGAGAGTAGAAGTGGCTGAAAGGAAGTGAAGTCCTCACGATGACGCCTACGTTCCATAGAAGTTTCGGTTGTTGTGTACACATTCGTACACACGTTGGCAGATTTTTTTTAATAAATAGTTAAGCGCTGCAGTTCTCAATAAAACAAAGATACTTATAGGGACACGGCCGTCGAACATGGGCCGGCAGTAGGAATTTTTTTGTGCCAGCGTTCCCAATTGTTTCGCATCATGCCGCACACTAACCCCACAAACGCGTGCTTTAAAGTGAAGTTTTCAAACGATATCTTTGGCGGGACACCCCACGAGCCGCGTTCTGAGGACAACGCCGAAGGAATAGCTTTATTTCCGCTAAACGTGCCGTAAAGCCAAGAGTCATCTCGTGTACGTTGTTCTGAATGAGCGATTCCAATTTGTGCAAGGTTATTGCTCTGTTACGAAGTGAAAGCAATATCGTGTCTGACACAGACGCACCGTACACCGTACTCCTACACTTCGCAAACATACAACACCTACTAGCCCAATACCGTTCGATTATGCAATTGTTAGAGCAAAGCCGTATACGACTTCGAAGTGGGCAAATGTGGCTGTCCCCGTGAGTGCGCAAAAGTTGTAAATAAGTAATGTTAACATACGCTACCTCGGAGGGCGTCAACGCTAGCGCTAGTGTATGTAATAATAATAATAATAATAATAATAATAATAATAATAATAATAATAATAATAATAATTGGGGATTGAGGTCCAAAACCACGTAATGCTTATGAAGAACGCTGCTTGCAGCCCCCTGGGGCTCTGCAACATTCCCCGAAATCCCTGTCCCTCATTTATTCCCTGTTCTTCCTCATTTATTCCTCCTCCTCCCCGAAATCTAAAGCACGGGCCTCAGTCATTTTTTTTCCGCCAACATCGAAAACATGGCCGCGGCGCCGCGGCCGGGATTCGACCTCACGACCTGCGGGTCAGCGGTCGAGCGGCGGGTACTTAAACAAGCTTCTCTTCAGGTTTTTGGCAGCGTATGTGGCTAGCTATACGCTGACAAAACATACGAAACAGCTTATGTGAGCTATAGCTGCGCATGCGAGTGTTGCTTCATCGTTTACAACTCGCGTGCGCTCACTACCACCGCATCGTTCCACTTTGTGGAGGTATCGAGCTTCGTTGTAATAACCGAAAATGACGCGCAGGTCGCGGGATCGAATCCCGGCAATTGGCGGCCGCATTTCGAGTGTCGGCAACAATTATTGGGCCCGCGTACTTATAGATTGAGGTTCACGTTTAAGAAACACAGGTGGTCGAAGTTATCCGGAGGCCTCGGCTACAGCGTCTCTCATAATATTAGGGGCGAAGCTCCTTAGGGCGTGGGCTGTGCGTCCCCTGTAGCCTGTATGTAGCCTCTAGTTTAGTTCTTGCAGTGTTCACTAGATGGCGGTACCGTCCCCTGCATGTAGCCACCTCTAGTTTAGTTCTTGCAGTGTTCACTAGATGGCGGTACCGTCTCCTGTATGTAGCCACCTCTCGTTTAGTTCTTGTAGTGTTTACTAGATGGTGGTACTTGTAGCTGATGATGAAAAGATGCAAGATGTTATAAACTAGAAAGCGGTACTTTTAGTTGACGAAAGACGCGAGATCTTATAAAATAGGAATGATGTCACATATGGCGCGTGTCATTGGTTGAAGGCAATCGTTCGATTTAGTGCGGCGACGTACCCTAGGGGGAGCGTTGTAATAAAATCCGTTCGCTGTTGGCGCGCGCTCGGAGTCGCCGGATGGATAAGGCTGCACAGCGGAGAGAGCGCAAGGCGGCAGCAGCGCGCGCTCGCAGACAGAATCCCGATGTGCGAGCGCGCGAGGCAAGGGACATCGCAAGCCATCCATCGTCTAAGAACAAATAAAAGTTGATTTGTGTATATACACACACAGCGTTTCTCACGTCTTTACGTGATGATCGACTGGGCGAATTACACGGAAGATTCACAGTTTACCGATGAATCCCTCCGGAGCTTCGCCCATTCATCATCATTCACCCCGTGAATATGCCGTAAATTTTTATCGTGGTTTTGGGACGTTTAAACTCCAACAACAATCATTGCTATATGTAATAACTGCAAAGTCGAACGGTATTGGACTATAGTATCCGTTGTATGTGTACAAAGTAAAAGAGAGGGCGATATCCGTCATTGCATGAATCGCAACCAATGAAATCTTGTATGTTTTCTCAATACCCTTAAAGGTAACTTCACCAAACGGAAAGTTTGACGCGCGCATTTCTCAACCGTGGTGACAGAGAAATGAAAAAACTACAACATACGACAGAACCCATCTCAAAAAAAAAAAGATATCACAGCAGACGCACGAAGAAACGCACATCGCTTGTATTCGTGTGCCTCTCTTATTCATCCGTGTGTCACAGTGTTCCCTGTAAACTATCATGAATTATTTTTCTTTGTTATTATTTTTTCGCTACGTTAACTTCTTTTAATGGTGTCAACAACGCTTTGGAATAATATTACGGAACTTAAACACGATTACTGACAGCCCATGGATCAGAGTTCACGGCTTCCGAAACAGGTGTACGAGGCGGTTCTCGCCTCGATCGTGCTATATGTTCACTTGCGACGCGTCGGGCACCACCACGCACCTGTACAGCGGAAGAAAAAACAATGCGTGCGCACGACGAGGGAATCCTGCCACAACGTTGCCGCTGTGACGAAACAAGCGAGATAAATGAAGGAAGCAAAAACGGCATTCCACGGCCGCGGACGCGAGACAGCTGGCGTTGCCGCTTCGTTCCGGCCATTGTGGCAGGCCCGAGCGAGCTCGCCACGGCTGGCCTCGTTAGCTATAGCCTTTGAGGCTTGCTGTAGCTCGCTAAAGGATTAAGATCGATTGATTGATTGGTTGATTGATTGATTGATTGATTGATTGATTGATTGATTGATTGATGGTATGTGTGGTTTAACGTCCCAAAACCACCATACGATTATGAGAGACGTTGTAGTGGAGGGCTCCGGAAATTTCGACCACCCGGGGTTCTTTAACGTGCACCCAAATCTGAGCACACGGGTCTACCACATTTCCGCCTCCATCGGAAATGCAGCCGCCGCCGTCGGGATTCGATCCCGCGACCTGCGGGTCAGCAGCCGAGTACCTTAGCCACTAGACCACCGTGGCGGGGCTGATTAAGAGAGAGTGTGAGAGAGAGTGAGAAAGAGGAGGCGCAACAATTCTGATATTCAGTAACTAAATTTTGATCGTGTACATATAACACTTAGCAATAATAATTGCTGGAGATGTACAGTCCCGAAAACATATGATATGATTGTGAGGGACGCCGTAGAGGAGGGCTGCGGAAATTTCGACCACCTGGGCTTCTTTAGTGTGCACCCGAATCTATGTACACGGCGCTCACAGTCGATATGCGGCCGCCGCGGCTGGGAATTAGATCGTATATAGTACGTGAACGATGAGGACGATTGTTCCCGTGAACTATGTAAAAGATAGATTGACGGCAGCGGCCGCCGCGCTAACCAGTTCATTTGTTTGTTTTCCTGCTTGTGGCCGGTCGACTATGGCACGTACCCACTCTGGGGTAATGGCCAAAAATTATCACAGCCTATGGATGATAATCACACTATTGCTTACCAAATCATTACTAAGAGTGTACTAAGACCCCCCCCCCCTCCAAAATAGATAAGGAGCAAGAAAGAGAGAAAAGAAAAGGGGCAAAAAAAGAGGGAATAAGTGCTATTACGATAGCAAAAGTCTGAAATTTCGAGGCAACTCGGAGCCCGAGCAGAAACAGCTCGTCGTCCTCTTCGTCAGGCACACAGAGTCCAGCAGAGTGGCAATATGCATGCAGCAATATATATACCGGGTCTTCAAAAATTAAGCTTTGTGGTTTTGTTAAACTTCTACACTGGAAAAAACACGTAAAAACCACTTTTACAGATAAGTTATGCATGCATTGGGGACAGAAGGCTAGACAATAATTATCGCTCTCAGCCACCCGATTAACGACGGTAACTACCTTCTAATGACTGCACTGAGAGGGCGTAAAGCTTAATTTTGAACACCGGGTCATATTTTATTTGCAGACGCATCGAAAGGTCGTGAGCTCGATGGGGTGGGGCTCCAGGGCTCCACTGGCTACTGACGCCTTGCCTGACGTGACTCAGAAGCGCGAGCTGTGCCTCCGTGTGACAGCTGGCC